TTGAATTACGGATAGGATATAGTGATACGATACGACACGTATACTATGAAGCACGGATAGGATACAGTGATACGATACAACATAGTGATACAAAATAAAAATATATGCTTTAAAAAACATATTTAACACAGAAATATATAAATTCAAGTTCATTTGATTTGTTGGGCAAGAAAAGTTGGAAATCCAGTCCTCTTTACATACAAAGAAGAAGCGTGAGAGTTATATTCATTGTTCAATTGGCACTCTTTGTATTCATCAAATTTTAACGAAGGTGTAAAGGGATTCTAAAAGCCGGATACTTGTATTCCAAATGTGGGATACGCCTATCCATTAAGTCAAAGCCATATCAGTTGACCATGATAGGTATCCGAGAGTATCCGACAAGTATCGGATACGCGATAAGCGACCAAACTAAAGTATTTGTGCTTCATAGGCGTATAGCTCTAATAAATTCCTCAAATGCTATAGATATATTATCACGACTGAATCGAAGCCAGAGACCATATGAACAACTCCGGCACTATAAAAGAGCAGTTAAGGTGGCGAGAAAAAGGAAAAATACTAACCGTTTCCTTCTTGCTATTTTGCTTCTCTTCCAAATCTTGAAGAGTAGCATCCAGCCGTTTCCTGTTGCGCAGAATAAGTATAGTTATGCCCGAAGTTAAACAAGAGTCCGATCAGTATAAAAACAATGGTAGGAAGAAAAGGGAGAAACTAGACATAATTTTCATATAAGCACCCAAATGTAAAAGTTGGGAAACCATCTATCCAACCCACACATATATCGCTACAAGGTCAATCCCAAACCGGAAAATGTAGTGGACAACTGGTGTAAGATTCATTTAATAGCTCCCACAAAAAAGGTTTCTCATGATAAGCCTAGGCACATAATGCACAGCATCAGATAACATTATTCATTCCTCTCCCCTTTTTTGGGTTCCCAAAAACTCACGTTCCTTCAGTTACAACTTAGGCGTAGAGTTACTCGTATGAAGGCAATGAGCATGAAGACATTGAACAACATTCTCATTATATAATGCACGTCCTTCCCAAGAATTTGGATATCACTTGTCCCAATGGACAAAGACTTCATTTTGTGAAAACTAGGCATCCTGTTTTATAGTGAGCCTTTCAGCATCCAGGAAACCGATTTTTTTATTGAACCCCAGGTCCTTCCCCATCTAGTGGGGAGAAAATTACCCTTAAAGAAATTTGTTTGTTGATGGTTTGGAATTTAGACTAACAATCATAAACCACATATAACCAAACATGGGAAACTCAGAAACATATTCATTTTCCGAAGAGAAAAGGCTTAGGTTAGGTTCATTAGCTTCCATTTCAAAAATGCCGCTTTCCAGCATTGCGATCAATGATCAAGACCTATCATTCGAAATATAATAGTTGGAATTTTAAATCTAATACCAAAACAGAACCAATTGGTTTGACCAAATTCTAACATTCAACCCAAACTCTCCCCCTTTATCATAAAATTCTGAAATCGTTCACAAAACCTAGGTTAAATCACATTTTGTGCATTTGATCTTACAAGTTTTCTCGAAATGATTGATTTTGGGGATTATCTAAGAAACCTAACACGAACTTTAAAATCCGAAATGATATCCTAAACTGTGAAAAAATTGCGATGATAGAACACAAACCATAATACAAATACATAAATAAATGAAACAGATCGAGAAGCATACAGTTCCGCTGAGATGTATTCGATTCTCTTTCGCACATTGGCCCTAGCCTCTGCCAAATCCTGCTTCACAAGAACCGGACCTATCAACTTGAAAACATTGGCGTCTTCGCTGAGGAGATCCAATTCCTACAAACACAAGCAATCACATTACCATCACAACAAAAACTCAATCGTTAACCGATAACCGCGAGCTTAGGAAAACCACAACAAAGCCAATTTGCTTCCAACTAGGCAAAAGTTTACATTTTTCAGATATTGGTAGTCAACAGCGTTAGCTGAACTCGTTTTCCCGGTAACCAAACAGAAAATAGAGAAAACGCAATCGAGAAAGAAGAAGACCTTGAGGACGAGCTCGTTCTCGCCGAGCTGTATAGTGTACTTCTTCCTCACTTGGTGGTTCTTTGAAATATCTGAAGGAGCAAAAATGCCACGCTAGGGTTTTACAGGTTCAAGTGAACTGTATATACATATACATAGATATATATATAAGTATACGACTTGCCTTTTTGGATTTTGCTGAGATCGTTAGCTTTGGCCTCCAATTCGCGCTGAAGCTCCCGAATAGCTGACGACGACGCCATTGATTTTGCTGCTATGGCTTTCTTCTTTTTCTTCTTCTTCAGCGCATGAGGTTTTGTCTCTCGCTTTTCCTTCCGGTTTTTTGGTTTTAGATCCGGTTTAGTGTGATATGGGCCTGTGAATTATATTGGGCCATAATTCAATATTTTTGGTAACAAACTTTGGGCCTTTTGGGTCAATAAATGAACTTTGAGCTTGGGCTATTTACCATTGCCGGATACAATAGGCCCAATTGGGAGCATGGTAGCTGAACTAGATAGGCTAGGCTTTTTTTTTTTTTTGTTTCGAGGATTTCGATATTTTTACACTAGAGGGAATGAGTTCGGTTAAGCCACATAATGGGTAGCCTAATTTGGTATCAAATTCGTCATTCATGAGTTTAGAACATAAGACCTCTCACTTATAAGCGAAGAAGAATACCAACAAATTGTAGATAGGCTGGGCTTAAAGGTTTAGGAATGCTTGATATGGTCCGGCACGGCCTTGATACGATCCACCAACACATGTGAGTCTTATCTACATTAAAGAGATGGTACAAATACATGGTAAGAGTTTTTTTTTTTTTTGAACAAACGATATTATCTACACTAAGAGGAAGGATATGGGCTTAGCCTCACAGTGGGCTAGAAATAATGTGGTTCGAATTCGCATTTCTCGAGAATTGAACCTAAGACCTCTCACTTACAAGTGAAGAGTAATATCACCAGGCCATAGTACTAAATTTTCATTTTTAGTGTAAAGCATGACACAAAGGAGCATAGTTGATTACATTTTCAGTGTAAAGATGAGAGTGTTGTTATTGACACTCAACAAACGTCATTCTACACATTTTATGCATTTTTTATTTGTGATTTTATAAATTTAGAATATAAATTGATACTTTTGGAGTGTGAAAGCTTATTTCAAAAGTGTTTTTAGATTTTCATACTTTCTTTTCTTTCTTATGCACATCGATTGTTTCAGTTATCTAAATGATTTTTAATTTAATCAATATATTTTAGAATTTAAGATAAAACTCTCTTTATCCCCGATGGTCATAGGTAATAGGATTAAAGTCAATGTTAGTGTACCTTAGGAAGAAAATGAGAAACATAAACTCCAAATTTGCAATAGTAAAACAAGAAATAAAACTTTGTACGATTTGTGTGTACATAGTACATACTGAATAGTTCATATCAGTTTTTAATTTTGCGTTGGGAGGACAAACAAATAAATAAAATCACGAATGCTTTGAGCACTGTCAAAACATGAAACGGCGCAAGTTCTCGGGGGCCCGCCGCAATCACCACGATTCTCAAAACACGGCATTATGTTTTAAAAGTTGATGTTTTATTTTTATTTTTTAAAAAACGATATCTAAAGGGTTGTGATATCCACACATCCCATTTTACTTCTCATATATTTTTTTAATTTTCAACCATCGAATCGGATGAATTGAAGAAGATCAACGGATAAAAATTATTAAGGGGTTTGTGAGAAGTAAAATGGGGTGTGTGGACAGCACACCCCTATCTAAATTAATAGAAAGAGAATGTGCTTAGCCTCAGAATAAGATAGTAATAATGTGATTCAAATTCATATTTTGCGAGAATTTAATCTAGGGAACTTTAACGAAAAGCACCTGGTACTGTTCACTTTAACGAAAAACCACATTTTTACACTAAAAAGTCAATCCTGGTACTATTCACTTTACCCTTTATTTTGTCTTTATCATTAAAACTCGAAGTTTTCAAATCATTTTCATTAGTTTTCCTTTGAATCTAAGATCTCTCTCGATAAAAAAGAATCTAATATATCTCACTTACAAGCAGGGCAACCGTCCAGGATCCAAAAAAAATTGGGGACACCAAAATTATTAAGGTGGTATATTTATATATGTTTTTATAAAAGTATAAATTTATAAAATTTGGTTTAGTGACAAAGAAATTTAACTAAAATTGGTGGTTTTGTTGTTCAAAATTAATGAGGAGGTTTTAGGTTCAAAAACCATATTTGCTTATCTACTTGTAAGCCCGAAGTTTTTTTGTTTCCTTATCTCGATACAAAATAAATTAGTTATTATGTGTTTTTAAATTATTAAGTTTGAAGTGTTTTTCTAAGTATAATTTTATATGTCTTACGTGTGAAAACAAATAATTTATTTTATATGAAGTGAGGACACAATTTTTAGCATCGTTCTAGGCCTCAAAAATATCTGGACCAACCTTACTTACAAGTGAAGAGAAATATCACTATGTGACCAAAGTTGATGTTATTTGCACCATTTTGAACACATTTGAAAGTGTTTTTACAACGACTAAAAAATTTAAGTAAGTGCTTTCTACTTTAAATGTTTTTTTGGGATCCACTTGAATTTTTATTGAGAATTAATTAAAATTTTTTTTTTTTTACCAAAAGTGAGCGCTTTAACGTTTGACACTCTTATTTGTTTTTTATCATCAAATTAAATAAATTGAACAAAATTAATAGATAAAAAATAAGAGGATTCGGTGCGTGTGAATAGCAGTATTCTATAAAAAATTGAAAAACAAAATTCAAATGTGGGAACAGCAGGAAGACTTTAGTTTTTCTATTTTCTTTTTATTTTCCCGAAAATTCTGAAACAAAAGAAAGTCGAGGACTGCTGCCGCTTTTGTCAAATAAATGATATTAAAGTGCAAAACTTTGATTAAAAAAAGTAAATCCTACTTACGAACTAAAGAATAAAGACGACTGAAGTCGAATCTTTTGGATAAAAGGACACTCTCTGAGTCTCTCCCTCCTCACTGCTTACTATAAACTCACTCAGCAACGCGTTGCAGAAGACAGAGAGAGAGAGAGAGAGTCCAGAGAGAAAAGATGGGTCGGAGCTCCACACTACCCAAATGGGTCTTACCGACTCTGCTTCTTCTCGGTCATTTGGCAGCTCAAATCTCGGCGGAAGACGGTACGTTTTCTGGTTTCTCGTTTCCTCTCTTAATTTTTCGAAGCATTTTGCAGTTTTCGTTTTTTTTTCCGACTCCTGAGATGTAATGACGGACTGTTTAGTATTATTTAGGCTATAAAATTTCATGGGTTTGTCATGAATCATTGAGTTGCATTTAGTTTAGTTAATGTCGGACTGTTTAGTTTGGTTAATCACCGCTCTTGATTAGAACTTTGAGATCCTGTTTCACTTTTCCGGTTATCTCAGAGCAAATCGAACTCCGGTACTAATCCGAGCTCATTTTTCACTGCTCTGGCTCACCAAAATCAGTTTAATTTTCACAAAGTATGACCAATTAGTGTAACTCCCCCGATACTTCCCGCCAGGAGAAGTAGAGTGAACTCCGGTCACGAAGGTTTTCACCCCCAAAGGTTCTTAGCTTAATTTTTTTCTCAGTTTCTGCTTTTTGCCTGTATTTTCTTTGATGCTTTTCAAAAGTTCAAATCTCCGTTGGCTTATTAGTAATGAAAATCGATAAAAGAAGTTTTTGAGATTGATCACCGTAAATTATTTTGATATTTTCATAAAGGAAATTACTGTTGGTACTTTTAATTAGCGCTCTAAATTTTTTATAATTAAAAGAGAAATACAGAGTGTAAAATAAGATTTTTGAAGTATTAATAACAATTCATTTCGTAAAAAAAATGTCAACATTCTTATTCAAGTGTCATGTGAACAATCATATGATTATTTTTTTTAAGAAAACTAATGAAAATAAGTTAAAATTTAAATTTTAATGATAAAGATAAAATAAAAAGTCAAATAAATATTACTATGATTGATTTTTTAACGTAAAAATATGATTTTTTTGTTAAAGTGAACAGTACCGTTAGTTTTTCGTTAAAATTCTTTATTTTTTAGTAATACTTTTGTAAAACTAACTTCTTAACTTAACAAAGATATTAACGTATTTTTACAAAATAATCAAAATGATTATAAATTAAGTGATCACTTCTATTAGTTTTGTAAAGACTTCAATAAAGACTAAAGTAAAAGATTTATGTTAATTTAAGCAACTATTTTAACCGAAAAGCTAATCTCTATTTAAATGTGGTAATGTAATGTTGTTTTTTTATTATATATTTTTTGGGTACAGATTGCATTTGGTAATTTACAAGGAAGACAGCTAAATTTTGCATCAAAACTTTAGGCCTTGTGAAGATTGGTTAAATTAGTAAATTTACTAGGAAGCTAGTTACGTTTGCTCTACAGCTGGCTACGTTTTTACCCATTTGTCCATCGCGGAGTAGGTGAAAATGTCTAAATTAACCTATGTAAACCCGGATCCGCGCCCAATTTCTGGCGCATTTTTCCCGTATTTATACAAGAAGACAAAGTGCCTTTCCGTAAAGGTCACTGGCCCTATAAACGATGTATAGCTGTCCCTTCAGATCACCATCCCAAATCGCCACCACCCCACATGGTGTTTGGTGTCAGTAAAAAGAAGGCCCCTTTGTAGGGTCCACGCGCTCAACCCAAAGTTTTTTCCTTTTTCCCACATTTTTTTTAAAATATGCTATCGACGTATTTTTATTTTTCATTCTTATTGGTAATTTTTATTATTTGATTTTTTTTAGTTCATCTGATTTGATGGATAAAAATTTAAAAGTGTGTTTAAGAAGTAAAAAATAGTGTGCATAGATAGTACACTTTTTTTTAGGAATTTTAACGAAAAATTCATGATACTGTAACTTTAATGAAAAATTATATTTTTACATTAAAAATTAATTATAGTACTATTTATTTTACTTTTTTTTTTGTTTTTATCGTTTAAATTCAAAATTTTTAACCTATTTTTACTGGTTTTGTTTGTTTTTTTTTTTTAACCTACGTCTATCCTTATTTATAAAGAAAATTATGTTATTGTGGGCTTCCCCACGTTTGAGGCCCATGTATGGATAAAGCAATCCAGAGTAGTCGCTCAATGTTCGAAAGATAGATCTTCCGCTTTCTCAATTGAATTGGGAAATTGTAGCAACACAAAAATTGAAGACAGAAAAGCCTTCAAAAAAACATCAATTTATTTCCGAAAACAGTTTAAAGGTTATCGGAAATGAAAACTACACCTTGAGAATGACATATTTTCTCCAAGTTGTGAAATTATTATTTTCTTTTAGTTTTGTCTTGGAGTTGGCAGGTTCCTTGCTGTCATGTCACGATAGTACAAAATCTCACTCTGTTTTTTGTTGTATTTTGGTCTCACATTTGAGAGTTCGGATTTCGCCGGATCTTCTTTGTAAGAATCTTCGATATTTGTGAATAGTGTTAATTTATTGAATATTGTGCGATCATAAATTATTTTAAATATTATTATTTAAAAATAAATATAAACAGTACTTGATAAAAATTAATTTCAGGACAAAGACATACTTGGCTTCTTTATTTAACCCAATATTAGTGTGATCAACACTTTCTTGTAGTGGTTTGAGGTTTAGGGTTTAGGATTTAGGGGAGGAAAGACAATCGATTTAAGGGTCGGATTTCTTATATGGAAAGCACTTTTGTGTGCTTTATCATTAGAAAACTTTATCATTAGAAAACTTTATCACTTGCAGTGCTTCATAAACCAGAAAGCACCCAAAAATGGCATTAAAAATCGAGATTTGCTTTGCTTGTAGTTATTTCTATCAACGTTACTTATGTTGCCTAAATTTGTAGGACATGTCACATGCCTATACTTGGGACGTTACCTGGGACGTTACCTGGAGTTGAATCTCAAACTATAAACATGTTAGCGTCAGTTGTTTGCTTAGATATTCATAATTCACATTGGCAATCAATTAGCCTCAGTGAGCATATCCATGCATAATTCACATGGTTGATGAATATAGCCTACATTTCTAAATCAACGTCGTTTATTGCAGGGCCAGTGCCAAACGGAGATTTTGAACTGACCCCATCAGGCGGCTTTTCAAACGAGGGCATAGTAGACGGACCCGCCGGTATCCCCAACTGGAAAGCAAACGGCACCGTTGAGCTGGTGGAGTCCGGGCAGAAACAGGGTGGGATGATCCTCATCGTACCGCAAGGTAGACACGCAGTGAGGCTCGGAAACGACGCCGAAATAAGCCAGCAGGTGAGGGTGGAGAAGGGGTCGGTATACTCGGTGACTTTCAGCGCGGCTCGCACGTGCGCACAGCTGGAGTCGCTGAACGTGTCCGTGCCACCTGCATCGCAGACGATAGACCTGCAGACCTTGTACAACGTGCAGGGGTGGGACCCCTACGCATGGGCCTTCGCGGCGGAGGAGGACAATGCGATGTTGGTCTTCAGGAATCCCGGCATGGAGGATGACCCCACCTGTGGGCCCATCATTGATGACGTTGCTATCAAGAAGCTCTTTACCCCTGATAGACCCAAAGGTATGAATCTTCCCTCCAAAACCGCTTTATTCTTCAACCCTATTGGCCCACATCATAGGATCCGCTTTGTGGGGGCCTGTTTGATGACTTTCAAAGCTCACGATCCAAAGTTTGACCTAGGTGACAAATCCAAAATTCTTTTTTTTTTTTGTAAATTAAGTGAGGGTGGGTTGAACTTAAATAATAGATGCAGCGGGATGATACTGTGACGGTATCTTATATTAATTATGAATTGTCTTGAAATATAACTTTAATTGATTTCTTACTCTGTTGTAGTACGTATTTTTTATTTTTTCTTGTTCATCGCATGATTTGTCACGCGACGAGAAAATAACAGGTAAACAAATTTGATCATGTATGATTGATGGGCCCGAGGTTTGTGTTTGAATAGGGGATTGGGTTAGCGGATGATCATTTGAATGCGTCGTTTAGATTGACAGTCAGAACAATAAATTGCAGTGTGATTCCATCTTACTAATTAGTGGTCACTATTTGCCATATTTTGTGCAGACAATGCAGTGATCAATGGTGATTTTGAGGAAGGACCATGGATGTTCCCAAACATCTCACTCGGAGTCCTGCTCCCCACCAACCTCGACGAAGAAACTTCGTCCCTACCTGGTTGGATCGTCGAGTCCAACCGGGCTGTTAGGTACATAGACTCGTACCATTACGCAGTGCCACAAGGAAAACGAGCAATTGAATTGCTGTCTGGAAAAGAGGGCATCATTTCCCAAATGGTTGAAACTGCACCAAACAAGCCCTACACCTTGACCTTCTCATTAGGCCATGCTAATGACAAATGCAAGCAGCCTCTTGCCGTCATGGCATTCGCCGGCGACCAAGCGCAAAATGTCCATTACGCCCCTAATTCCAACAGTACATTCCAAGCCGCCGGCGTGAATTTCACGGCCAAGGCTGAGAGGACAAGGATTGCTTTCTACAGTGTGTACTACAATACCAGGACTGATGACATGAGCTCACTTTGTGGGCCTGTGGTGGATGATGTTCGGGTTTGGTTTTCTGGGTCATGGAGAAATGGGTTTGGCGGGTCGGGCCGGCTGGCGGTTGGGCTTGCTTTCTGGTTGTTTGTGTGGGTTTTGGTTTAGTTAGGGTTAGGGTTTGGCAAGATAAGTTTTATCATATGTAACGTTTTGGTTTTAGTACGTCTACCGTGGGAGGGATTTTTGCAAACAATAGTCCCACGTACTAAGTTTACTCTATAGTTTTGTTATTATGAATGTGAAATGTATCTTCCTTTATCCAATTTCCGTAATTTCGACCGCATAAGCTTATAGTTTCAGTGGTAGAACACTAGCACTGCTTCGTCTCCGGTCCCTATCGAAACATAAGTTACGAATTCATTCAGTGAATGCAATCAAGTTTAATATAAGAGTGTGCGTAATATTGGGCATAACCTCCGGTTCGTATGAACCATAAGTTACGAATTCATTGAGGTACTGTTTGGTACATGGGACGGGACGGAACGGAGTGGGACGAGACATTTCGTCTCACATTTGGTTCGCCTAAAACGGGTGGAACGCATAGTTCCACGGGACGAATTTTTTGTGAATTTTCGTTCCACCTCACCCCCTGGAACAACTCGTTCCAACAAAATTATAACCTCTCCGTCTCCTTATTCTTCCTCCTTGTTTCCATCCGAGGGTATCTTTGCTCCCTCTCCGTTCCGTCCCGTCCGGTCTGCATACCAAACGATACCTGATTGAATGCAATCAAGTTCAAAGTACGCATGCGTACTATTGGGTCGATATCTTGTCTCCAAAGTTGACGACGCTTTGCCACTTTTTGTAATCGCACTTCACGGAGGTTACTTTGAATATGAGAGGTGATATGTATCTTATGTTTTACCTTTATTCTTGAAGATGAGTATAATGTTGGGGAATACAAGTTTTTAAGGTTCCTTGAGAAGCTCATGGTTGGTTTCTTCAAAACAAATCGTATGTGATCACGTAGTTTCAAAATGAGTCGGAGATTTTAAATTTCTCGCTTTGCTGTTTAAGATTTTTAAATTATATCAATTTGCACCTTTTGTCTAGTATGTTATTTGAATTTTTATTTGGCATATTTGTTTATTTGTCCTCTAAACTTGTATAAAGCTGCAAATTCCCTTCATGAACTTTAATTTTAGCTGATTACCTCTTGAACTTTTATAATTAGCCATTTCCACTTTGAACTTTAATTTTAGCTGATTACCCCCTTGAATTTTTATAATTAGCCAATTTCCACTTTGAACTTTAATTTTAGCCGATTACCCCCTTGAACTTTTATAAATAGCCAATTTCTCTCCTGCGTTAGATTTTAAAAGTTTACATTCAATTTTCCATCCATCTTGATCACAGAAACAACACATAAGAACTATATGAGAGCAAAAATGATGAAAAATTGGATGGATGAAAAATTGAATGAAAGTTTTTAAAATTTAATGCCAATGGGGGAATTGGCTATTTATAAAAGTTCAGATGAGTAATTAACTAAAATAAAAGTTCAAGAGGAAATTGACTAATTTAAAAAGTTTAAGGGGGTAATCAGCTAAAATTAAAATTTAGGAGGAATTAACAGCTGCATACAAGTTCAAGGGGCAAATAAAAAAATACCTCTTTTTATTTAATTAAGGACATATTGAACATGAAACTTGTAGAACTACAAAAGTACTATTCTTGCCCATTGACCCAAACAAACCATAAGAACGAATGAAAACAAAGGAGGGATGAAATGACGTTAATGCCCCCGTCACAAGTCATGCGTAGTACTTACGGTGGGTCTATATAAATGTGGAATGGAGAAGAAACTGGAATTAGGAGAAGAAAGAGCGGGGGCCTTCCGTCACATTTGAAACTTTTGAGAGGTTCGCCCCCTCCTCTCTCTCCTCCCCTCCTCCTTCTGCTTTCCCTAAATGGAAGGCGAAGAGGGTCCCACCGTGACCACCGCCGCAACCGCAACCGCCGCGACCGCCACCGATGCAACCGCCACCGCCACCACCACCATCCCCACTGTCACCACATGCGGCACCGATTCCCCCCCACCATCCCCGCCGCACGATTCTGATGTCTCACCCGTTGGATCTCCCGATCGCGCCTCCTCTGAGATTCAACCACAGCCGTCTGATGATGACCCTGATCAATCGTCTGGGGCTGGCGTTCTCTCTGAGGATCTCAAACAGAAGATTATTAAACAGGCAAAAACCCCTCTCTCTCTCTCTCTCTCTCTCTCTCTCTGTATATATATATATGTATATGTATATATCTCTCTATCTCCTTTTTTGGCATGTGGAAAAGTGAACCCTAGGAGCTTATATCTGTTTGATTTTTAAAAGGAATATGATTTGTAGCTGATAATTAGATATTGCATAGACCTTGCAATATGTGTTGTATTGATTATGAACCCTAGAATCGCATATATCATCCCGATTGTTTGAGTAGCTTTACGATTTTTGATATTATGCTCTTAATTCGTACTTGTTGCGGCATAAATTTCAGTAACAACTCAAAAATTGGTAAAATAAATGCAATAAAATTGTTCATAGATTCGATGATTTGATTTCCGTTTTTGGGATATATTATGCATAGGATAAGTTAATTTGAATTGAGTGCGTATTTGGAACCACTTTTTGAAGCCACATTAGTGTAGACCATAATGTACTAATTTCTGTGCCCACTTTGCTGACCGTAACCAAATTTTAGTTTCACTGAAGTCGAAATTTTGACTCACATCGAGATTTAATCAAATAGCGAAAATGAAATGTAGATATTTCACGTAGTAACTGTTTTGCTATACTAATTCTAAGTTCTCATGTAAGGATTGTTTGTCAATTCTTTGTGGATTTGCAGGTGGAGTATTATTTCAGCGATGAAAACTTGCCCACTGACAAGTATATGTCGAGTATGATTAAAAAGAACAAAGAAGGTTATGGTGAGTGTTTAGTGTTATTTTTTTATTCAACTTAGTTTTAGGAGTTGAATGCGTTTTTGTACCGAACTGAAACTTGCATATCTTTTCATCTGATTTGATTCACATTAGCCAAATGTTTTTCCCCTGTTGTACCACAAATGGCTTCTTATTTCTTCTTCTATGATTGATTTGCAAATTTGCAATGGCACTATTTTTAAGACAAATGCAGGAAGAGTCATTCTAAACAAAATCTTATCGTATTATGCTATAGGTGTCTATGAACTTTGTTCACCCGTTGGTTTAATCACTTTACCCATGTAATAGGCTAATAAAACTTTGGACGGGCATTAATTTTTTTCCAAGTGTTTTATTAGAGTAATGACTCCATTAAGAAAATAAGATAAAGGTTCGTGTGAAGAAACTCATCCTCAATCATCCAACGTAGAATTAATCTTATGCAGATTCCTCCATTTGGCAATAGAGTATTGAAATTACCAAGTGACAAATTGATTTGCAATTTGTTTGACTACCACGGCTTCATGTGGTTGGATGTGGATCTAAACCAATTTATTCCAAGGTGTTTTATTTGTCATTTTCTAGTACATGCTTTAGGGGTGCTGAAAGTTTATAATGTTAATTATGTTTAGAGGAGATGAAGGTGATGAGTAAAGCAGGTACTTCTGACGGCTTCCCTTGCCTGGATGTTTCCTGGTGCAGCCAAATTTGGCTGTGCCGAGCATCTGGGTTGGTGTTGAATGACCATGTAACTGACTGCTGACTGATTCCTTCTCTATTCATTAAATTCCATTGCTAAAGCAGTTTTCAGAATTAGAAATTTTTTTTGTTCCTTTTGGTTATTCTTGTTTCTAGTTAGTGTAATTGCGGTGATATATCACTTTTGGGAAAGGGGGTGATTACTTCTCTAGTGGCAGGAAGATGAGAACTTTTTTAGACTTTGTTATCTCCTTCCGCTACTTGTGTATATGAGAGTGTTCATCACTAGCTCAAACCCGTGTGGCATTGGTATTTGTTTATACATCAAATTGCTTGCTCTGTGTTGGTAAAAAAATCTTAGTTGTAACAAAAAGAAAAATTATTAGTTGTCTCCTTTCCTTCACCCTGTCATATTAACAGTTTTCGCTAACTTTTGGCATATTTTTTTTGCAGTTCCTATTTCAGTTGTTGCTTCTTTTAGAAAAATGAAGAAGCTCATTCAAAACAATTCGTCCATAGCGGATGCATTGAGGGAGTCTACCCTCCTTGTAATGTTCTTATTTTGTTATCTTGTGAAAAATTAAGTGCAAGTTGAATCATGAATATGCTAAAAGACAAGCATAAATCTCCTCTTTGTAGGTTGTGAGTTCGAATGGGAAGAAGGTGAAACGTATTCATCCCCTTCCTTCAACTGAAAACAGGGACCCAAAGGTAACCTTTCGAACTTGATTTTTATTTTTTATTTTTTTTCCTTGATTTTTGATGTATTATTTTTGGAAAACTTCAAGCATCTAATTTATGTATTATAGTGCACTGTTTTGGTGGAGAACCTACCTGAGGATCATTCAGTGGAGAACCTTACGACTATATTTGGTGAAGCTGGAAAGTATGTTCTTTTCCTTCTTTTTCTCCCCATGCTGTGACATTTTTGTTCTCTTAATTTTTTTATTTTTGTATGCTTTTCAATTTTTCAGAATAAAAGATTTATGCATACTTGACCCACATGCATTAGAAGCGTCAACAAAAGGTGGCAAGACCGAGAAGCTAATTAGTAATAAGGTATGGTTACTAAACTTCATGTGCATGATTATGCTTGCTAGTTCTCAGAATCTGGTGATTAAGACGAAGCAGTTACTGAGATACACTATCCATGTTCGGGATTTTTTTGGTTGGGGAATGTCTTATGTTTTTTGTGGTCTGAGGCAAATGCTGCCTTTACGCTTATATTTGAGGTCTTTTTGAAGACAATTTTGAGATATTTGGGCAGCCTTTTGTAATGTGTATTGTTTTTGGCTGCAGTTGCATGCCCTTGTGGAGTATGATACCGTGGAGGCTGCTGACAAAGCTGTAAGTGTTTGTTCTTTTCCAACATTATCGTCATCAAAATAATCATCATTTTTCATTGGGCTCAATAGCCTGGATAATCAATCCTTAGCTTACAGTTTCGTTCCTGGTGGTATGGGTCAGGTCACTACTTTAAACAATGAGGGGGATTGGAGAAATGGCATGCGGGTGAAGCTTCTAAAGCAAGTGGTACTTGATCCTGACTTTTTTCCTTTCTCTTTTTCTATCTTCACTTTTGGCCATAAGAAAGAGTTAATGTTGGTTTTATGTACATCAGGGAAAGTATGGACAGAGAAAACAACCCTGGAGGGGTTTTGATTCTGAGAAGAATAGCGGCAACAGAAGTAATGATCAAACAGGAGACGAGGAGAATCATACTGTAAGTGAGAAACATAATGATGCACGGACAACTGATGAAGAGGTGAGTGGGGGTATTTTCGCCGGAGTCCTTGATGGATCCAGTTCCATACAAGTCTTTTGTTACACTTGACTGGAATTTAAGTTTTGACCTTTTTCGCTCTGCCATTCTAGGACGGAGAGCGAGTTCCCAAAGAGAAAACTGGGCATAGAGGTCGAAATAGGGGGCAATCAGGAAGGCAAAAATACCGTGGGACCAATGGATTTGGTATGTCGTTGAACCAATTTTTTGAATAGGTTTTTTTCCTTTATACTCTATCCCCTTAATCTAACCTAGATGTTTCCCCAGGTCATGGAACTACATCGGCCAATCACGGCATTGAACCCTCAAAGCCACCACCCGGCCCAAGGATGCCTGATGGAACCAGGGGATTCACAATGGGGCGAGGGCGGACTCCGAGCACCGCCCAGACCTAGCAAGTAGTTTGATCCTTAGTGTTTTTGTGTTTCATAACGTTTCTGTATGTATTGCACCGAGATCTGGTAGATCCGTGGTGTGTGTACTCATGCTGGCGGACTTATGTAAATATGCATCTATCAACCGTAATCCGAATTTATGTTGAACTTTTGTTGGGTTTGTGAATCAATACTAGTGTTTAACCCCAGGTGGGCACTGCAGTCTGCATTTCCACGATGGGCGGTGTTATTTGCACCCATTTTTACTACTTGTATACCTTTCTCAAATTTCAAGCGTCAAACCGAAGATTCATGGTAAAAATTAACAAGGCTATGTGGGAGGTTTTCGGAGAAACGGATTTGAATTCGGATGCAATAATGTATACAATATTTGATCATCTTCGATCGATATGTTTACCTAATCGACAGGTGAATTAGGTAAAACCTAACACCAGGAAGCAACATATCGATCTTTCAGGTGCCACAGAAATTCAACATCTTCCTAGTGTTAGGTTTCTGAGTGGCAAAGACGTTGAATTTCAACATGATCGGTATTGTCAACTAACTGAGTGGCAAAGACGTTGAATTTCATTTCTTCACGACAAAAATCAACTAAAAAAAACCCTTCCCAAATCCTTCTTTCAGGTGCCACCTCACCCCAAACCAGGACAAACTGCCGTCTCATCCACGCGCGCCATTTGGCGCGTCAAGAACTCGATTAAAAACATGCGGTGCGAGAATTTCAAAGTTTCCTCTTTCGCATTCCCTCCGTCTTCTTCCGCCGAGACATGACGTCGTCATCATCTTATTCTTTCACTCTCCTCCGCCATCTCTCTCCTCTCCAACTCTCTCGCTCCCGCCACTGCTCCTCCTCGCTTGGTACACCCGTTCGCCGCCGATCCCTTTCGGCCTTTTCGTTTCGGAGTTCCGGTATCCGATACGATCTTCAGGTTTGTTTTCTGGCATCTCCGGTTCGTTTCTTATTTTCTGTTTGGTTGCCGAGAAAGTCAACTGTGACGAAAAGCCCTCTCACAGGCCCGTAGTGAAAGGCTTGTTCTAATTTGTTCTGATTTCATACGTTATCAATTGCAGTTGATAGGGCGGAGAAATGGGCGCCGCTTTTGCTACAGTTCTGTCGATTTCGGGTCTTTTGATTCGGTAAGCCTCATAGTTTTTGTTTGGTTCATATAAGGGGGTTTGTAATTTAGCTAGATTTCGGTTCCGAATTTGCTTTGTTGCCCTTCTCAAGTTTTGGGTTTGAAGTGTTTTGTTCTTATTTCGATTTTTTAAACTGAATTGCTATCAAGGGCGCATATATGAATTGCGTTTTTTTTTTCCTCAGGAATCAGCTGATATAACACCACTTGATAATTGGGGGGCCGGACGTGAAGGGTCTACAGGGTACATGATTTATTCCAGCGGCGAAGATAGTGACGGAGAGTTTGTAGTAACCCCCGTTGCTGATATCGATTTGCCTGCCATCACCGTATCAGCTGATGATGCTAGGGCTGTCACTGCTCACCGGCTTGCAATGCTTGGACGTCAGCGTAAGAAGCACAGGCAAGTATGCCATCTGTTTATCGCGCATTGCTCAGAGACTCGAAGGAATATAAACTTTTACATATTTAGCTGAAGCGGTTGTGTTTCATAGTTTGAGAGATACTCAAAATCACTTATTTACGTAATTTTATTTCGCCATGAGTTATGATAGATTTCAACAAGTGATTTTAAACATACAAAATTTTACGCTACGATGAGAAGTAGGTTGAACTACCAATGTATGTGGGTCTTAGTCTGATTGTCGTTTACACTTAATATTTGCAGGATCAGACATGGAGTATTACTCAACATGGGATTGATACTGTTCCTAGTAGTGTTACTTTTATATGTGGATTCATGTGCGTGGAGGATTGTTAGACTACCCTTGGCACCGTTTCACTTGACCTGCCCCTTTTTCGTTTCAGCCATTTTAGCCTCTTGTGCGGGATATGTGTGTGTTCCTCTACTCTATGTCTTGAAGATTCGTCAAATTATCAGAAAAGAAGGGCCTGCAAGGCACTCCTTGAAGAAAAGAACTCCCACAATGGGTGGACTATTTTTTATACCAATTGGTGTAATTGTTGCGAAATTTATTGCCGGTTTTTCTTCTGTTGAAGTTTCTGGAGCCGCTGCAGCAACTCTTGCATTTGCTGCAATTGGGCTACTTGATGATATCTTAAGCCTCGTCAAGAAACATAACACAGGTTTATCTGCATGGACAAAAATAATTTTGGAGGTGAATTTACATTTACTAATTAGTTTTTCTTTCTCAAACTTTATGTGTGGATTGCTGTTATATCTTAAGAGTTGATTCAAAGATCTATCAAACTTTCTAGTGATATTTATGTTATGCTTATTTTGCAGGTAGCTGTTGGAACCTGGTTTTCGTATTGGTTGCATACTGCAAGTCTATCATCACCCTATGGCATGTATATCTTCTTCTAACTATTTTTCTGATGGTAACTCACATTTCTGTTCTTATGATGTTGAATTTAAAAGAAAATAGCAAGTAGTGTTTGGTTCTTATTTTGTTATCTGTCTTCCACAAAATGGGTCTCTTGTAATTTCTCTCTTTTTTGGTTTTTTTTCTTGTACTGTTAAACCTTCCCGTTTTCCAGGGGTCATATATTTGTAGCTAATTCTGGATTAAGGTTTTCCTGAATACCCATTAGTACCTCTTCTCTTCCCATTCCAAAATCATCAACTTTCAGATTGCTGAAATATGTCCGACAAGGGCTGTGTGATATTCTTAACTGTGAAAGTTGCACTGAGATTGATACCATACACACTAAATTTAGCTTGTCGATTGTGGGACATTTTTTTTAGTATTGTCATTACTAAGTTACACTCGTGCTTCTATGTAATAAATGCTTTACTCATGGTGCTTCTACACAAGTTGATCTTTTATTTCTCAATGCAGGAAACTGTTGGTTCCTCTACCTGGACTGGGACTCATGTTCCTGGGAAAATGTTATCTACTGTTGGCTTCATTCTGTTTCGTATCTATGGGAAATGGGGTTAACTTAACAGATGGTCTTGATGGTTTGGCTGGAGGGTCTGCTGCATTGGCTTTTGTAGGAATGTCGATTGCAGTTCTTCCAATATGTTCTGGTCAGTGTAATTGTCATTGTGATGTCAGTTTTATATTGATGTTTAGCTTTTCCAGTTTCGTTGAACCTGTACTAGCGCAATTTCACCAAGGGGTTGGATATTCTGACTTGAGTACTAAATTTTTGACTGCCTTATGAAACAGACCTTGCTATATTTGGAGCATCAATGGCAGGAGCTTGTGTTGGTTTTCTTTTGCACAACCGATACAAGGCATCTGTATTCATGGGTGATTCCGGATCCCTGGCACTTGGGGGAGGGTTAGCTGCAATGGCTTGTTGCACAGGGATGTTTTTCCCCTTATTTATTTCATCTGGAATCTTTGTCATCGAAGCCTCGTCAGTTATTTTGCAGGTTTGTTACCTATGCGAATAAACATGTCATGCATTCCTTTGTTCGTTTGATTATGTTTTGTGATTCAGGCAAATGGATGGATTTCACTCTCGTAATTGGTTTTAGAGTTACAGTTTTTCTCTGAACTGATATCTTAGAGCTCTTTTAGGTACTATACTTCAAGACAACCAATCGTTTACATGGAGCTGGGCGCCGTCTCTTCCGAATGGCACCCTTTCATCACCACCTTGAACTATGTGGATTAAAAGAACCGGTCATTGTTGCTGTTGCATACGCTGTATCATCCATACTCGCGTTGTGTGCAGGCTATCTTGGCCTTATTTCTGCATAGCATTTCGACGTTGGTACCATTCTTTGTAGCTACTAGCTAGGATTGACTTTTTAGTGTAAAAATGTGATTTTTCGTTAACGTGAACGGTACCAGAAGTTTTTCGTTAAAGTTCCCTTACTAGAATTAATTTTTGTATGTTTTTTAGTCTTTATTCTGTAATTGTTGGTTGCTGAGAAAATAGAGTAAATGTACAATTCAAACTTGTGTGCCAAAATTTGCTAACGAAAGTGAAAGTATAGGATGGGTCATGCTTTAACGATATAGCCCACTTAAGCTGGACTTCCAACTTCGACGCTAGTAACACAATACAAATGGTGCATTGAACATTGTGATCCGAATCGTTTATTTTTTCAATTTTTTTACAAAATATCTTGGATCATCTTACAAATTTTACTAATGCCTGAATTTGTTTGTACACTTTTCAGTTACGAACTTAAACGGTTTTTCATTTGGTTGAATTTTTTGAGAGATAATCTTTGAATGAAGATTTGAAAATCTAAGGTTCAGATCTTGAACTTCGTAAAGTAGGATCAAATGAGTGAATAACACTTTATAACTCACTAACTATCTAGTGTTTGAATGCTACCATATATATATATGGGGTAGTGTTACATCCGTTTTTACTTTTCACTTACTCCTTTTAATTTTATGTCGTCATATCGATTGAATTAAAGAATATCGGTGGTAAAAAATTATCATGGGTGTGCGAGTGGTGGAAATGAGTTTGTGAATAACGCTATCTTACATATGTGTACAAATTAACTCATTAAATATAAACATTTAAATACTTTATGTTAGTTACTTAGTACTACGGTTTAGTGATATTGCTCTTCACTTGTAAGTAAGAGGTTTTATGTTCAATTCTCGTCAAAGGCGAATTTGAACCACATTATTACTAGTCCATTATAAGGCTAAACTCATCCCCTTCTTTTATTGTAGATCATATCGTTTATTAAAAAAATACTTTATCGCTAAATTCCTAAGAAAAGAAAATTGAAAATGAAGTAAAAGATAAGAGTGGAAGGTTATTAGGAAAAGCAAAACCCAAAACTGAAGGTGAGTAATCACAATATTTAATAAATCAAGGGACATTTTTGCAAATTCAAAGTCTTTACTCTCATCACACAAAACCCTAGTTTGTTCTCTGATATAAAACCGAAAGCGCCTACTCACGCCCCTCAGTCTTCTCTGCTTAGGGATTTTACAGTCGGCCAAAGCAACCAGCAGCCACCTCCAAACCCTAGCACCCAATCTCTCCGTTTCGCAGCCATGGTAAGCAAATCTCAAATCCCAAATCCAATATCTTCTCTCTCATGTATTTCGTCTCCGATTTCATCTGCATTTGTGTTCAGGACTCAATCCGTGAGCTTTTTTTGGTGTGTTTTTAAATCCCCAACTTCCATTTTTATGTAGCTATGTTTTCAGACCAAGAACCCTCCTAGATATTCGTTTTGTGCAGATGTTGGGTTTTTCAATTATCTTTCGATTTTCGAATGCTTTACACTTGGTGCGAACGCCGCTAATGGAAAATTGGGTTCTGGTTTTTGGGTTCTTTTTTCTGCATTTTAATTCGTTTACTGTTGGGTTATGATGCAGATGATGTGGTGTTGTAATTGGGTTTTAGTCAATTTTGTAGCTTGATTTGATTTCGGTTTTTATCTATTAGTTTTCTGTATATACTAATCATGTTCTGATGTGATAAGTTCATTTTTTGTTGATAGTAATGAAAGTAATTTATGAAAATCAAAACTTGTCGATTCTACTTCGATTGTTTTCAGTGTTTTGAAAAATAATGTTATTTGGAGTGGATGGTTCAAATGTTTGTTTTTCAATCGGAAGACATTGGCACTAAAGACAGAATTTCAATTGGATGAGTGGGTCTGATGTAAAGATGCTCTGCATTGTTTGTGTTTGTTGCGTATTATTGTTGGCGCTAGATCTTCCTGTTTTGACATGTTCCTTTTTTTTATGTGTTCCGCAGTCGAAGAAGAAGGTTAGAGAGCCAAAGGAAGACAATGTCACCCTTGGTCCCATCCTCAAGGATGGAGAACATGCCTTTGGTGTTGCACACATTTATGCGTCATTCAATGACACATTCATTGTAAGTAAACTTATCTGTTTTTCATCATGTTATGCATGATTCATTCTGTCTACGTTTCTGGATGTAATTTTGATTCCTTGTTTATGTTTCAGCATGTGACTGATCTGTCAGGAAGAGAAACCCTTGTTCGTATCACCGGTAAGGAAATTCTCTCTTCTATAGTTAAGATCAGCTAGATAGACTTTTCCATTTCAGACACCATTGGCTCATGTTGGGGTTTCGTTTAGTGAACGCTTTGGTGTATTTGTAAGTTGTATTTCAAAGAATGTGTTGTAGATAATGTTGTAGCATAATCCTAACTGTAGTGTGATGAATTTAGCCACCTATATGTTAAGATGTTTTGCTACGAATAGTAATTTGTTATGTTTCATAAAGTATGCATTTCTTCAAATGCAGGTGGTATGAAGGTGAAGGCTGACAGGGACGAGTCTTCCCCATATGCTGCTATGCTTGCAGCACAGGATGTTGCGCAGAGATGCAAGGTCTTGATCTATTTTCATTACACGTTGTCTATTTTTGTTTCCGTTCTTGAGTTAATCGTATTTCTTGTAAAGGTCATCTGGACCATTTTGTTCGATTGTGCCCATTATCTAAACCTTGGTGCACTATTCCTAGTATTATAATATTTTTCTTTCTGCTTCCATTTAATGTGTTTTAACTTTTACGAATGCAGGAATTGGGCATTACTGCACTTCATATTAAGCTCCGTGCCACTGGCGGGAACAAAACAAAAACACCTGGTCCAGGTGCCCAGTCTGCCCTCCGTGCTCTTGCTCGTTCTGGAATGAGAATTGGTCGTATAGGTATGCCCTTATTTTCTTTAAGCAAGGTGTCTTGATGAGTGTGCAAATTTTGTGCCTGGCGTACATGTTTTCGATATTCTTTTTGCAGCTGTCTGTACGAGTATGGAATGTTGACCTTTTTAATATCGTTTTTCAGAGGATGTGACTCCAATTCCAACTGACAGCACCCGTAGAAAGGGTGGAAGGAGAGGAAGGAGGCTGTAAGCTTTGCACCTCTTATCTGGTCAGAACTGCTTGTCAGGGTGGTCGCTGTGCCTCAGTTGGATTATGTTACTTCGAAATTAGGCGCTGTTACTTTCGGTTTCGAAACTCTCTAGTTTTTTACTATGTTTTTCGAAAGTTTTATTTCCAATTAATTCGGAAAGAGTTCTGGTACTCTTTTAAGTTTTGTTTTGTTATTTATACTGTTATTCTGGTCTGCAATGAAGTATCTTTTGGTCTATTTCCTTCTTTTGTTATTTATACTCTTTTAAGTTTTGTTTTGTGACATTGTTGTTAAATTCGTTCCGCTTAGATATGCCAAACTATAATTTAGGACAAGAAAAACTCGAACGTGGACACAATGGACAACTCCAACTAACTAGTAGCAATAACCAAGAGCCCACACTTCCTTGAAATATACTTGGGCCCCTATGAAGGCCCAAAGGAGAGAAGCCCAAAATAGGTAATAAAAATGGACCCCAAGTCTAGCAAAATTACGATCCCGCCCGGCTGCCAAAGCTGCCAGCTGAGTTAATACAGAAATGGAAAGCATCAAACCACCGCCCGTTGCTGATCGAAACCATCCACCCGAAATTCTCAATTCGGGATCGAAAGAATGAGCGACGACTCCAAGACCAGAGGCCTTTCCGGCGACCAGCAGGGGCAGAGCCAGAGCCAGCAGCAGTACTACGGCACCTTCCAAGGCGTCGCCAACTACTACCCTCCGCCTCCGCAGCCACCGCCTGAGCCGGTTGTCGGGTTTCCTCAGCCGGTCCCACCTCCCCGTTCTTCCGGCCGTCCTCCCTTGCCTCCCTTGCCTCCCTTGCCTCCCCATCATCACCACCACCACCACCACCATCACCAACATGGATACCAAACGGTTACTGGTATGATCGATACCCAATTTCTTTTCCGTGCTCATGAATTTTTTAATTTCCTTCTAATTTTTGTTCGTTTTATTAAATTGGGTTTTTGGGGTTTGAAGGTTATGCTGTTGTGGAAGGAAGACCCGTAAGGGAACGACGCCTTCCTTGCTGTGGCATCGGCATAGGCTGGTTATTGTAAGTTGATTCATTGCCGTTCCATCTTTTTTTGAAGTTTTGTTTTACGGTCCTTTGTTTTTGTGTTGTAAGCATTGAAACCTTCTAACAATTCATAAATTTCCCAGAGAACATATTGGTTATGGAAGATTTAGTCAAGAATTAGAATGGATAGCTACCGGATCGATACAAATCATGTTGGTTTTGTGGGTTGATCATCATTTGTCCTGACATAATTAACTAATGTATCGAACGAACACCATCGTGGAATTCTTTCCTTTCCCGAACAAACCATGGACTTTTCCACTAGCTGTGTGTCTGCCCGTTAGGTCGCTGCATTCTGTTTTTTAGTTCTGCTTATGTATCAGTGGCTTCCCATCGTCAGTTGTGGGACAACACCAACCTGTGCCGTCTTGGCTAAGGTAGCTCGAATCTTGCCGCTGGTTAGTAGTTACATGGTTGGACCCAGTATGTTCTCACAGGAAGCAGTTTATAATGAGATGATCATTTGTTGGACAAGTTTTGATCTTTAAATTTTAGGGAGTTCTACTAGTTCCGGACTTCTTATAGGATCATGATAAGAAAAAGTCTTCTTGATGCTTGCCTATGAAAGTTTTAAACTTTTGACTAACAAGAATTGTTCCGTTATCATTCTTCTGGCTGGCTGTTACTAAATACTGACAGATTACACTTTGACTCTTTCTGAAGGTTTATAGCAGGTTTCTTTCTTGGAGGCATCCCCTGGTATGTTGGAACTTTCATCTTACTTTGTGTGCAGGTGGACTACAGAGAAAAACCTGGATATGTAGCATGCACAATAGCTGTAAGTGTTCCTTCCTTATGTTTCGTATCATAAAATCTAGATGTGCAAGTAATTCTTTTCATTGTAGAACTCCCACAGACATAGTAACAGTTTGAGGATTCACAAAATAGTGATCACTTGATGTTCATAAAATTTGCAACCAACAACACAGTGGCACTAGACATATCTAGTTTTAGATAATCATGCACATAATAGGAACTCATGCATAAGGTTCAGACTTTTCTTATTTAGCATATTATTCGAAAGTTGAAATTTTGTATAAGTGCGTGATGTTGGTTATGAACTTTATAATGTCACTAATTTGGCAATATTAGTGCTTCAAAAGAATTAGAAAAGTGAAAATCCGAAAGACTCTGATTTCTACAGTTTTAGTTATGCAAGAGCCCCACTTTGGAATCTGCAAAAGGTCTTATCGTTATGGATTTCCTGAATGATTTAGAGAATTTGCCTTATACACCAGTAGTTCATGTATCATTGACTTGATAGGTGATGGTTGTGGTTGTTACTTTAATTGCTTGTTTGTTAGTCTTATAGCAAGGCCTGCAATCTTGGGTAACCTCGCCTTTGTTATGAGTGGAGGGTTGTTGCCCCTAGTTAAGTATGTATTAGTGTTGGAGCGGGAAAATTGGGGTCCTCCAATTCTTAAACAAGTAATTGTAACCATGTTGAGAAGCACGCATGGCACCATCTTTGCTTGCCATCACGGAGGTAGGAGGGGGTACCTGCAAAAAACACTCCGACTCCTCAAGTCAGTGTTTGTTCAAATTGCCGTACATTATACCTAATACCATTTCTCTCACCTCCCTATGCTGGTGTGATTATTGGCCTTTATAGGCATAAAATGCATGGGCTCCAAGACCTACTTTCTTTCTATTTCTCCATTTTCCACATTCCATGCAAGTGTTTGATCACGTTCCTTAATTCTATCCCCAGTCCCCCAAGTTTATAATTCGTGGGAAGTGGCACATTGCTTGAGCCTTAATTTCTGCACCCAAAGTTAGTAATTTCCTTGCTGCCTGTCCTAAGTCTACGTACCATTCCACGAATTTAGCGATTGTTTCAAGCCACCATATTCTAATTCTAAGGTGTGGTCCAGTTGTTATAAACATTTTATGCTTTGAGGACATCGAGTGTTCTTCCTCATTGGGGTAGTGCTGTTTACTTGATGTTCATTCCTGCCATACTTGAGTTCGTTTAGAAAATATAAATAGAAGCTGTACCCTTGTGTTTTTTTGGGTTCATTGTTTTGACTGCCTAGTTGATAGAAGCAAGGTATATACATGGCCTTGCTTTCATTTTGAATTATGTTTTTGCATTTTTTTCAGGCGATTCTTGCTGTGATTGCTATTACTCTGGGCGTAACGAATGGAGCTGAAAACCTGATGAGGTTTAATTAAGGACTGCGAACGATGATCTGATCCTGCTTCTGTACCTAGCCTTCACTCGAAGGAGCTGTGGGGGGGATGGCTAGTGCCGATAATCCATATGTTGGTTTGTCTTGCACATGTACTTGACAGGAGAGTAGCGGGTGTTTGTTGTATCTATTCAATATGGTGTTCTATTTTCTCAGAATTTGCAAGCATTCATTACTCAAAACTACATACATACAATTATCTTGTGATTATATCCAGATGGCCAATGCCGTACACCTTTCTAGATTTCTTTCTCAATGAAAATCCGTAAAAACATGGACTTTGTCGATACAACATACCATTCAAAAGCGGCATTCGTCGCTCATTAGGCTATGCAAATGGCAATCCATCCATCCAGAAATTGGTCGGCACGACTCTCAAACTGCCTATTAGTAATATCACGTGACAGTATATCTGTTACGTTGCAACTTTTGTTTTCATCGGTCCCATTTGTTGGCATCACAAATCCAAGTTTCTTCAATTAGCACCCCTTTCAATTTAGTTTCAGTCACAATAATTACAACTTTTCTAATTTTTACTTGAAAATCTGATTCATAAGAGGATCCTCGTTGGATCCTTTTTGTGAGGTTGCCGGATCCTCTTTGTGAGGATTCTGAGAACCTCTAGTCACATTTGTTTATCGTACATCGTGCGGTTAGAAATTATTGTAATTTTTTTTATTTAAAATTGAACATAAACAATACTTGACAAAAAATATGAACGGATGTGATTAGAGGATCTCCGGATCCTCAAAAAAAGGATCCGGCGACGATCCTCTCTCCAAAACTAGAAAGATTTATTTTTGGGTTTGCCAAACAGGCCTACTTGTAAAAAGCCCAACTGATGGCCTTTAAAAAAAGCTCATATTCATTTCATCAATGGAAGTAGGGTTTCGTCCTGATATATAAACAAAACAAAAACCCTAACCTGCGCTTCTCACCAGAGAGAGAGGCCTCAGAGATCGTAGCCGCGTCTTCTCCGATTCTCCGACATGGGTGTTTTCAAGGTAAGCCTGCGTGTCTTCTTCTCCGATATCCCCTTCTTCCCAGAAATGGAGGTTTCAGGGTTTTGAGCTGCAACTAACGGCGTCGTTTTTGTGTCACAGTTCCACCAGTACCAGGTCGTCGGGAGGAAGCTCCCTACCGAGACCGATGAGCAGCCGAAGATATACAGAATGAAGCTGTGGGCCACCAACGAGGTTCGCGCCAAGTCCAAGTTCTGGTATAAAACCTTGGCCTGAGCTCGGATTATCTGATCCCGAATTTGCATGGTCGAATTCTGGGTTGTTTCTGATATATTTAACTGTTGATTTTGTTTGGATTAGGTATTTTCTGAGGAAGCTGAAGAAGGTGAAGAAGAGCAATGGCCAAGTTCTTGCCATCAATGAGGTTTGTTCTACTTTCCATTTGTGTTTAATTTGATCTGATCCATTATTTTCTCTTTCGTCCTAAATGCGGTTTTCGATGGCGAAATGTGGGTTCATAATACGTACAACATAGCTGCTGTGATTGTTCTTTCTTTAGTTTTATAAAACATAATTTGATAATTCAAAGTCAAACTAATCTCAATGTTTTTGGTGTATTTCAAAATTACTTTCACAATGACGAATAACTGTATTAACAATGAAGTAAAACAGCCTTGACAATGACGAAGGGCACCGAAATGAAGTTAATCCCAATGACGACGAATACATCATTTTGGCTTTGTTGTCATTTTTATGCCGTTCACTTATTTTGGTATTTAGCCTGAAATTTAGATAGCATGGCTTCGCAATTTCACAGATCCGTATGCATAATGCAGCATTCTTACATGTCTTTAGGAACGCGGATGTGTTGATTGCTATAGCTCTTGGATTACATTTTCGATTCCATTTTTGTCTTTTATGGTCTAGCACTTCAATGTGAGAATGGCAACTGTTATATCTATGCAAGGTGCTTCCGTAAGCGCGTTGGTTTTTTGTTCAAGTCTATGAGTATTCATCATTTGTTCTGTTTTCATAATTATTGACTTGATGTTTCAACTGCCAGATTTAAGATTATTCTTGATGTTGTCGGAGATAGTATTTATCTATTTGTTTGGAATCTGCTTGCAGATCTTTGAGAAGAACCCAACAACCATCAAGAACTATGGTATCTGGTTGAGGTATCAAAGCAGGACGGGTTACCACAACATGTACAAAGAGTACCGTGACACCACTCTAAATGGTGCCGTGGAGCAGATGTACATTGAGATGGCATCTCGCCACAGGGTCAGGTTTCCTTGTATCCAGATCATCAAGACTGCCACCATCCCCGCTAAGCTTTGCAAGAGGGAAAGCACCAAGCAATTCCACAACTCCAAGATCAAGTTCCCGTTGGTGTTCAGGAAGGTTAGACCACCATCCAGGAAGTTGAAGACTACTTACAAGGCATCGAGGCCCAACTTGTTTATGTAATTTGGTCACTCGACCAACAAAGCTTAAACAGGGGTTAGTGTCAGATAAGTCTCTGAATCGTTCTGGTAGAACTCTCGGTTACTGTTTTTTTTCTTTTTCGGTATTTGTTTTGACTATCTTAGAAAGACAAACAATTGGAGTACCTTTAGGGGTTCTAAATCCCATTTTTGTTCACTTCAAAATTTGCAATTGATTATGTTTGTTGCTCGATTTTTACTAATATTGTTGAATGTTACCGTCGATTTTCTATTTGATTTATTTTTCCTTGCTCAAATGGTTGTTTGTCTATGAATGTTACGTGCTGTTTTGTACTTTTTTTTTCATTTGCTAATGTCAAAGGATTGTGCTATTCACACACTTTTACCTCCTAGGCTCCTACACACCCTAGTTATTTTGCTTATTGATCTTCAATTCATTCGATCTGACAGTCAAAAGATGTGTGTGAGAAGTAAAAATAAGTGTGTGGATAGCACTACCAATATTAAATCTACCAGGCGTGGCGGATGTGTGTTGAAACATGGTAGTTTTTATGGTTCGTTAAGTTATGATTTAGCAAGTGTAGCTAATGGGATGTGGAGATTCAATTTTTGTTCAAGACAGTAAATTTTTTAGTTAGTCAGGAATTCAAGTGGGAGATTAAGGGCTGGTTTGGTATTGTTGTGCTTTGAAAAAAAAGCTGTTGTGAGAAGAAGCAGCTATGCTGTGAGAATAAGCGGTTGTGAAATAAATTAGCAGAGTGTTTGGTAAATTTTTTTGTAAAAGTGCTTTTAGAAAAAAATAGCAGTCTCATAGTGGGTCTTTTCATTAAAGGAGCATTGTAGTTCCGTGTGCTTTGAAAAAAAGCCAGTTTTCCGAAGCTGCAAATGGCAGCTTCAGCTTTTTCCTTTGATTTCAGCTTATTCTCACAGCAGCTTCCAAAATAAGTTTTTTTTTTCCAGTTTATCAAACACCTAAAACCCTCATAGCTTTTTTTCATGGGTATTTTTTTTTTTATGCACCCCACTCCCAAACCATCCCTAAATACTATCACTTTAAACAAAGGGTTTACTCATTACCTAATCAAAATCATTATTAACACCTTTGACAAATCATACCAGATATTCCTGCTTTTGATGAGAGATATGACATCCAAATTAGTATGCCATTCATATATTTTGTGCTTGAAATGAAAAAGTTTAAAGTACTTGTGTGAGTAAGTGCTTTTTTAGAGAACTTGTAATATAATTATAAAAAAATTCAATGTGCTTTAAAGAAGCGCCTTTACTAAACCTTCTTGGAAGCAAAAGTGCTTGTTGAAGAAACAGTTTCAAACGAACGTGATTACGAAGAAAAAAGCACTTAATATATGCCATTCTCCATAAAATCACTTGGAAAATCGCTTTCAGTTACAGCTTTTATCCTGTAGACTTGTTTACTCATATTATCACTTAAGGAAAAAAGCACACATTGACCGCCAGCCGACCTTTTTTACCATCCTTGTTGAGCTCTTACAAAAGGATTTAAAGTTAATAGTAATAATTAAGCACTGAAGAATTACTCCTGGGATTAATATGTCATTCTCCACAATGAAAAAGAAACTATAAAAGGTCAAGAAAAAGCTTGCGTACGCCCGTTTCATGAAACAGGCTGGTACTTTGAATTTAAGTTTATATGTCGCTTACATGATATAACAAATATGAGAGACGCGTCTCACAAAAATATACGCATGAGTTTTTCTCATCTTAAGTTCAAGTAAACCGCAAGAAGATCAAGGGACACACGATACTATATACATGTGAAGCTAACGAACAAGCTATAAAAATCTAAGCTCTCCACCGACCTTAAAGTTTGGCCTTTTTTTCTTTACACCATTTCTGATTTGGCGTTAATCATCATTTGTATGTAAGACCAGAAAGCCCGGCAATTTCCTACCCACAACTTTGATCTGAGTTTTTGAAATTATCCACCTAACATTCATCTCATGACTCTCTCAAAGACCATCCTTCTTGTTTTTTTCCCCTTAATTCTTTATCTTTATCTTCTCTCTCACACTAACCACCATCCATGAATTGCCCCATGCTACAAAGCCTATAGCTGCTATAGCTTAAACGGTAATACTTTTATTTTTGAGTTTTTCATGTCTATGAATTCGTGATAACGTTATATTTTATAAAATTAACATTCGAGTTTTGTACTTCAGAAACAAACCATGTTGACAACAAAAAATTATTTAGAACATGACAAGTGATTAGCTTAGAGGTTTTTCTTTTCCAATTCTCTAAAGTTTTAAGGTGTTTTTCCTTCTGATGGGCTAATTTGGGGTTGCTTAATTAATTTTTTTAAAACAGTTTTTAAAAAAGTTGAAGCTAAAATTGTATTTTGTATAAGAAAAAAAAAGTGTTTTTTTTTCTTGAAATTATGGGTCTAAAACAGCAGAAAACAGAAGCAACTAACCATGCTTCTCAAAAACGTGTTTTTTTAATTCTTCATGTGAGGCAGGTGAACAATAACTTTTAATGAAACTTTTATGTTGACAATACTATCCCATCTTTTATTTTTGCTAGAAGCACTATAGTTTACCAAACACTTACCTTTTTTTCACCAATGTTTATTCTCACAGCAGAAGCAATATAAAAACAAAAAATACAGCATCCCAAACCAGCCTTGAGAAGTTAAAACACATATCCAACTTTTCTTTCTCCAAATTATCCCAAAACCCATCCAAATCAGATCAACAGTACTACACATCCTAAAAGTGCTTTCATATATGATGAAAAACTGAAATCAGAGAGAGAGAGAGAGGTAAAGGCTTTGGTTCTTCTCTTCCTTGGAATTGTTTCACTCAGAAATTGAAGAATGCAGACTTCCCTCAAGCTAGCATCTTTCACTATTTCTACATATTATCTTCTTCTTCTTCTTCTACCATTAGTTAGTTGCTCATTGCATGCAGATGTCAACCAACACAGCAGTCACGAGAACATAAAAGAAAATATTCACAAGGTAATGTTCTTAATTAAATCGGTTTTGTTTTCCTTTTCCGGCTTTTCGGATGAATTTTTTCTTCTTATATGAATTTTTTCTTCTTATTCTCCTTCTCGGCTTGTTATTTTCGCAGATGAGTCCCCGGATGACGTTTAACGTTACAGTTCATGGGCTCCTCTCATGGTTTTCAATGGGGTTTTTGATGCCCCTTGGAATACTTGTAATTAGAATGTCTGCTAGAGAGGAACGTGGGGCAACAAGAGCCAAAGTTCTCTTCTATCTCCATATTGTTTTGCAGGCAAGTTCTTAATTTCTTCTCTTTTCTCCTTCGAATTCGAGTTGTTTTCCGAAATTATCTAATTATAACCAAGAACACTAATTGTCCAATTATCATTAATTGTATTATCCGGATTGATTAAGATTATACGTTACACCATCAGTAATCTTTCGAGTTTTGATCTTTCTTCTCGGTAATCATGAGAAGCCACTTTAACTTTAATCATGCTGTCCACTGTTTCTTTTTTGTTTATAAACCTATCTGCACCCTTATTTAATTATTTTAAAGTTGAAAAATAATGCAACCATATTTGTCAATAACCATTTAATTACTTGAACATCAAGAAAAAGCAGGTTTTTTTCTTGTCTTTCTACTTAACTCATGAATTTGTCTCCTCCAACTCACTAAGATCCTGCACTAATCAATTTTGCAAACTAATATTACCATCATTTCAGATCATCACTCTCTGATACACCATACATATACTGGCATAATTACTCCGTCGCCGCAATAATTCAGGCATGTTAAATACATCTGTTATCGTATATGATGTCATCTGATTAAACTTTGATCTATAACACAGGTGCTGTCGGTGCTTCTTGCCACCGCTGGTGCTGCGATGTCCCTAAGAAACTTTGAGAACTCCTTCAACAACAACCACCAAAGATTAGGTCTAGCACTGTATGCTGCCATATGGATACAAACCCTAATAGGATTTTTCAGGCCTCGCAGGTAATCCATATTCAGTGACAGTTTGGTCCACGTCTTAAAAATCGACAAAAGCAACCCTAAAGTTATGAACCCTTACACCATTGGCCGGCCCCTCTTCAATCTAAAACTTTTGTTCTCTAAACGGAAGAAGAAGTCAACAGTGTAACACTTTGTAATTCTAAAAGTTGTTTTAGTCAAAATTTAAAAGGCACGCACCAAACTGATTAACCATTGATCCCTCGTTATTGTCGCATTTGGGATGAGGGTTTTTGTTTCTTGTAGGGGCAAGAAAGAAAGAAGTGTATGGTACTTGGCACATTGGATGCTTGGGACAGTGATATCCTTGGTAGGGATAATCAACATCTACACTGGATTAGAAGCCTACCATAAGAGAACACAGAGAAGCTCAGGGCTTTGGACTGTTCTTTTCACAGCTGAGGTTTCCTTCATTGCTGCGTATTATCTCTTCCAAGACAAAAGAGATTATATACAAAAACAAGGAGTGCTTTTAGGCACAACCAGGCAGCAACAGCAAGAAGATGAAGAAATTGCTCAAAGGCAGCACCAAAATCAAAAGGAGATGTTGCCAGCTCAGCAGCCTAGTGGCAAAGTCAATGCACTCAAGAACTTGTTTGACTAAAACAACATGGGTTTTGCTTTTTATTTTTGGCTTTTGTTTGTGTGTGCTCATTTGTTTTTAATTTTTTTTTTTTATGCATGTACTGTATGCAATTGTGGGTGATTTTAACGGCAGAGACAGCGATGGAGTGCATGCATTAAAAAGTGGATGATGGAGAGGGTACTCAATAGTTGTATAGTGCTTTGTATCAGAATGTCAAATACATATAATTTGGTTGCATGTTTATTGACACTAATAAGAAGGAAACTCTGTGGATTTTTTAATATAGTGAAAAGTCTTATATAAGTTAAGTCTCTCTATCAAACGAGATCTCAGAGTAATTTTCGGTGTGATTATAAGTGATGTAGAACTTTCATTTGGTAAAAATTAGTACATTTGAGTCAAAGTTCACAATTCACATCATCAATGTTACAACGAATACATTCCCCTAATGGCTTTCCAACAATTCTAAACACTACCTAAGGGTGTTTTGGCGAACTAGATTACTAGTTTATCCTATACTGTATCGAAAATTTTACTCGGACCCAACATTTCTCATTCTAAACCTACTTTATAATTTTTTATTTTCAAATTCCTGTTTTACCTATACACTAAATGACTTTAGAAAGAAAATGCCAAAACAAGCCCACTAGTGAAAATATCTCTGATTAACCACGAGCAGGTGGCTTAGTGGTAAATAATGAATTACGAGACTTCCTTAAAACTAAAAACTGGAGGTCTTGGGTTCGAAACTCGCTGCTGGTGTGGAAGCCAAACTTGTGGCCAAAGGGAGGCTGAAATGCCTTTGTGAGTCTTCCTGGCCCCCGAAAGATATGGATAACTGTGGCTTGTCACTAGTTGTCCCTCTTTTTAAGAAAAAAAAGAAGAGGGAATATCTCTTAGGGGTGTGATATCCACACACCCCTTTTTATTTCTCACACATTCTTCTAATTTTCGGTCGTCGGATCGGATGAAATGAAGAAGATCAATGGATATAAATTAACAAGGGGTGTGTGAGAAGTAAAAAGGGGTGTGTGGATAGCACACCTCTATCTCTTATTACCCACCCCACCCCTCCACGAAAACACCATCTCTCTCCAACCTCCGACCGCCGAAACCCTTTGTCATTCACATTGAATGATTTAAATTCACTGAGTTTCAACCTCAAATTGGTTTATCACCAAATAGTTGAATTTTTTTGTGAGAAGGAAGAATGAAAAACTAGGAGTCTACATTGGACTAGTTTTTAATGGTTGAGATTAAACAAATTGGTTTAATTAGATGATATCTCTTAATTGATTTATCATTAGGGTGTTGAAGTATTGCTTCTAAACTATGGTGGGATGAGATTTGAATCTTTGATTGTCGGTGGTAGGGAAGGTGCATGTGGCATGGGTGGTTGGTTGGTGAGGGGGTGAAGAACATTGGGTGTCTTTAGGTTTTGAGAGGTGGGGATGGATGTCGGAGGTGCCCCACGATGAGTTTCTTTTTTTATTTGGTTTTTTTTTTTTAAACCCATTTTGTATGTGAGATAAAATAGAATTGTCAAAGTAAAAAAATTATAAGTTTCAATTAGAAAAAGGAATGATAAATTTTATTTGGACCCAACTATCCTATCTCTACACCCAATTAAAAAAATTTCTCTACTAAACTTTCAAGTTTGTCCTTAAATAAATAAGAATAAGAAAATAAAAGAAAATAAATATTGGTGTTTTTATCTCTATACCCAATAACTCAAAAAAATGGCATACATCTGCACTCCTCCATTATTTCCTGCGAAACACACCCAAATGACAACAAAATATGCTCCTAAGTTCATCAACAAGTAAGCTTGCTAGAAACCCGTGTTGCATGAAACCCTTAGCGGCCCTTATTTATAATTTCAGCGGAGAAAACTTCTTATTAATTCGTTGGACATGAAACAAATTCCTGCAATATGAGACAAAAAGCTTCCATATCAGTGTCTATTTAGAAGAGATAGCAATAAGGGTTTCTAGCAAGCTGACTTGTTAGTTTTAATAATTTCTGCAAGTAGCCAACTCTCAGATAATGGTTCAAACAAGCAAACATATAAGCTGAAAACCTATGCTGAAATTATAAGTGAGGGCTGATAAGGGTTTCTAGCAAGCTAACTCGTTGATGAACTCGAGAGAATATTTTGCTGTTATTTGGGTGGGTTTTGTTGGAAATAATGGAGAAGTGCACTGGTGTGCCAGTTTTGGAGTTATGGGGTGTAGAGATAAAAACACTAATGTGTATTTTACTTTATTTTCTTATTCTTATTTATTTAAGGGTAAACTTGGAAGTTTGGTAAATAAAACTTGTTAGTTGGGTGTAGAGATAAGATAACTGGGAAAAAATAAAATTTTCTGAGAGGAATTTCGATTTCAATAAAATTTAGAAAAATTAACGAAAAGTCCAAAAAAAAACTTTAGTTTTAATGAAAAATGACAAATAAATAGTATCAAATAAGATAAAAATGTAATTTTTCGTTAGAAGTAATGTTTACTTAAAAGTTAAAACTCCCATCAAATTCCCCAAACTGTGTGTACCCACCCAAACCAACCAGATTCCCCATCCTTTCTCCCTCCTCTCTTGACCCACAGGGGCACAGTAGAACTTCTGCAGACTGTAGTGATCGATGGCTGACCACCACCATGATCATCATGACCATGACCATGACCATCATCACCACCATGATCATGATCATAGCCATGGGAGTTCAGCTGCAACGAATTCATGGGTGGGCTCAGATGGGAAGGTGTACCATAGCCACGATGGGTTGGCGCCACACTCACACGAACCCATATACTCCCCTGGCTACTTCAGCAGAAGAGCTCCACCTCTCCTCTCCAGGAATTTCAATGAAAGGGCTTTCACCATTGGCATTGGTGGACCTGTTGGTACTGGGTAAGTTGGGTAATTTTTGACATTTTTGAAAATATTTTCACATTCATCAATTGCATCGTTAGATTAAAAAGACTAGAAATGATGTAAAGATTGGCACTTTGTTTTTAGGGAAGTGAATTCCGCGCTCCCCCTTTCGCCTTTTGCATTTCGCTATGTTTTTCTAGCCATTGGATTGAATAAATTGAAGGAGAATCTAAATGATAGCACGAAAGGAGGATTGCAGGAGGTGAAAAGGGGAGCGCGGAAATCCCTCTTCGTTGGGGGAAGTGAAGAGTGACACAATTTAACTTTGGATAACTTTGTGATACAATCGAAATGATAGAAAATTGTTGCAGCATAACTATTTATAAATTTGTTTGATTTCTTCTGAATGATTTCGGGTTTTTTGTGATTTGCCTGGTTTAGTTTTCGTAGTTTTGAATACCAATTTGCTAGCACAAATCTTACTGGTTACTGAGAGTTGATGAAATGCTGCTTCACGACATACAGGAAAACTGCTTTGATGCTCGCTCTGTGTACACTTTTGCGTGACAAGTACAGTCTTGCTGCAGTAAGTAACTTTTCTTGCGACGAACAATTCAAAAGATTCAAGCTTTTGTCTTTATGATGTCCTAAATACTTCAAAAAACTGTTTAGCTTTCTACTAAATTGCGTTGAGCTTCACATAGTAACTGTTAAAGTCTACGAAAGACCTTTAACACCCGTGTTTCAAGTTGATTGAGGCAAGTCTAAAGATATTAAGCGTAACAATTGCAGGTGACAAATGATATATTCACAAAAGAGGATGGTGAGTTCTTGGTGAAGCATGGAGCACTTCCCGAAGAAAGAATACGTGCTGTGGAAACTGGGGGCTGCCCACATGCTGCAATTCGTGAAGACATCAGTATTAACCTTGGCCCTCTTGAGGAGCTTTCTAACTTGTACAAGACCGACATACTGCTTTGTGAATCAGGCGGAGGTATTTTCTAGAAACAGTTAAATGACTATTACAGATGATTGATACTCATGTTGGAATTGCACTTGAGCTTGAATGAATTTATGGAGCCATCTGGAGTTTGGTATTGATTTGAGAAAATGTAGCTTGATCAATGGAAAATGTTCAAAATTTTAGTTCGGACGAAAATGCTCATTGTAAAGTTTGCATAAATGGAGGAATTTGTATGTCAATGATAACAAGTGGTTGAATTGAGCGTTTATTAACATTATCCAATCGAATTTGTGTGAATGCAGATAATTTAGCCGCGAACTTCAGCAGGGAACTGGCCGACTATATTATTTACATTATAGATGTCTCTGCTGGTGATAAAATTCCACGAAAAGGTGGCCCTGGAATCACTCAGGCTGACCTTCTGGTATATTCTTATTCGTTGCTGATTTTGAGGATACCATTTCTATCTAGTGTCTACCCATCAATCGTGTCATTCCAATTTCAGAAATGAAATCATCAGGGATCGATATGTGAATGACTTGATAACATTTGATTGTAGGTGATAAACAAGACTGATCTTGCAGCAGCGGTTGGAGCTGATTTGGCAGTGATGGAGCGTGATGCACTTCGAATGCGAGATGGAGGGCCTTTTGTCTTTGCTCAGGTTGGTTGCTCGTATCATCACATGCGTTCACTACTGTTTTTGCATTGTAAACATGTTGTGAGCTTGGTATTTGGGATTCTCATGTTAGGAAATGCACAACTGCACTAATTTGTTTTATTAACATAAAATTGGTCAACACAAAATAAAAAACCTGTATTTTCTTAATTTTGGAAGGACCATAATCTGTGATTACATATCCTTGACACTATTAACCCTGTCCCAGTTCCCCAATCATGTCAAGAATGTTTCGTTGTGCCAGGAAGGTGATTCTTGAATGATTTGTCATTAACATGCAGTGAGCTGATATTTTTGCTTCTCATATTTGGAGATGCACAATTGCACCAACATGTTTTGTTAACATAAAATTGGCTCAACATGAAATCAAAAAGCTGTATCTGCTTATTTTTGGAATGAACATAATCTATGATTACATATTCTCGTCACAAGCAAGACACTATTAACCATGTCTCCATTCCCCAATCATGTCAGGAATGTTTCGTTGTGCCAGGAAGGCGATTCTTGAATGATTTGTCGTTATAGGCACGATATTGAACTTTCATGTTCATGACTTACATGCCTGTGAACCCTATATATGCAGGTGAAGCACGGAAAAGGAGTAGAGGAAATCGTGAACCACATATTACAGGCTTGGGAAGTAGCAACGGGGAAGAAGCGCCACTGAATCCGTCTTCGATGAGGTTCTGTGTCTTTTTTTTGTATTTCCCTGCTACATCTAAACCTCGACGAACAAATGTCACTTGAATTTTCGGTCTCTTTTCATCGCACGTAGATGTTTGACCCTTCGTTGCCTTCATCTCTTCAGTCCAGTTATAAATGGAACAAGAAAGCTCCTTTGCTACCATGTCTCTCAGTTGAACTGTATGTCTTCAAGGCAGTCACTTTATTGAGCTGTTTTTGTCTAATAGGGGTGATTTTCGGACTAATCGGATAAATAAAACAAGGTTTCACATTTCTCTTAATTTTCGGCCGTTGGATCAATGAATTGAAGAAACTTAATGGCCAAAAACTAACACAGGTACTTGTAGGAGGCAAAAAAGCATATGCGAATAGTGCTATTTTTTATTTAAAATAAATTGTAAGAAATTTCTGATAAGTAAAAAAAAAAAAGGTTTTTTTAGCTAAAATGGTCTTTAAGATTTGCATAATTCCTTACTTTAATCTCTGAGATTGTCCATCATCAATCATTTTGGTCGTTTCATGAAAAATCTCCATTAAATAAGATTTAAATGATAAAAATACCCTCAATTTTTTGTCAATCATTTTGGACTATTGTTTGTTAAACGAATGGTATTTTTGTCATTTTAATCCTTATTTAACAAAATTTTCTCGGAATGACCAAAATGATTGATGGTAGACAATCTCAATGACTACTTCTATTGATTTCAAATCTCAGAGACCAAAGTGAGGAGTTATGCAAATCTTATGGATCATTTTGGTTAAAAAGCCAAAAAAAAGAAGAGGAAAACTAATGAAAAATGATTTGAAAACCTTGAGTTTTAATCAAAATGACAAAAAAGTGTTGTAGATGAATAGTATTAGGAGTGATTTTTTAGAGTAAAAATATTCATTACGAGTGTTTCTTTAAAACTCCAAAAACAAATTTGTGAGAAAGGAAAAGAAATAAGAACAAATAGGTCCTGAATGGGCCGGGCCACACCGTCGCGGTGGAGTCCATTACCAATTTACCACCGCCCTCCCGAAGAAACGAAATTCCGCGAAGCCAATCAAATCAAATTCAAACAGAGGAGGAAGAAAACAGAAATCTCCCGTTTACCACCAACAATTTCGATCCTGAAATTGCAGAAAAATGGCGGAGGAGGAGGAGGAGCCGAAGAAGAGAAGGGTGGTGGTGGAATCCCTCGGATGGCTGACGGAGTCCTCAATTATGCCGAAGAAGCACCGTGCCATCGGCGGCGTCGGAGCCTCCTCAATCATGGAGCTCAAGGCCCAACTCTATCAGTCCCAAGAAGAATCCAAGAAGTCCAAAGAACTCGCCGGCTCAGACATCGAGTTCCATCGGGCCAAGAAGAGAATTACCGCACACGACGCCTTCTCCGCCAAGAACTCCGGCGTCGACGCCCGGGCTCACAAGTACGTCTTTTCTTTATTTTTCTTTCCCCAATTTTCTTCTGGGTTTAATTTCAATTTACTTAATTGTCAGTTGTTTTGTTGGATTGGTGTAATTTATGGGTTAGGTTTCCTTTTGGTAATTTAGGGTTCTTGGTGTTCTCTAATTACAAATTAAGAGTATTTTAGATGCCGTTTAGTGATATGATGAGATTTTTGAGCTCTCTGTTTTGGGAAGTTTGCGGATTTGTTTTTATTAAACACTTTGACTTGCCCATCTCATCATTGATCTAGGAAACATTTCAATTGATGTTCAATTATCTCTAGGATATAGTTTGGATTTCTGCTAAATTCAATTGTGTTTTTGTTGATTTAAATTCAGGGACAAGCTTGAGCTAAAAGCAGTGAAGGATGGATCGGCGAGCTATGCGGCGTTGGAGAAGAAGGCTGCATTGTACGATAAGCTAGCAAGGGGTGAGCTATCGGATGAAGAAGATAAAGAAAAGTATTGTGTGGATTTTTACGGCAAGAGAGTTGACCATGACAAACCGCAGCAGACACAGCACCATGATTCACCTGCTGTAATATCTCCAGAGAATCAAGATGGAGAGAGCAATGCTTCTACGCTGTTTAGCACGAAACCTTTGGGGCTTGGGCGAGCGGATGCGACAGTGGACAATGATATTCACAAGCGTTTTGTGAGGTAAAGGTTTCAAATGATTTTGGTATAGGTATATATGCCGTACAGACAGTTTAGTTAACTAATCACAATCAGATAATGATAAAGCGTTTATCTCGAGTGAAACTTTTGTTAGTGTTATTCTTTCAGTGTTACCATATTCTATGCAAGTCTGGTACTTAACATTTAGCCACAGTGATTTCGTGTTGCCGCTGTTACTCTTCTAAGCCTCTAAGGTGAAGTAGTTGAGCTGAGACTCATATTTGGGCTGGGGGTTGATTGTAGAGCAATGGATGAGTTGCTTAAGCTTTTTGACCCATTCTTGATTTGCAATCCTGCTTTTAAATTTCCGTTTGCTCTATATAGGACTGCCGATCTATTCTGTTAATTTTCGACTAAGTCCTGTACAATGTCTTGAGTGCCGGACTATAGATAGGAAGATGCTCTTACGGGAAATGAGCTGAATAAAGCATAAAAAGAATAAACGACTAAACGAGTGTATTTTTAGAACTATGCTGTCGTGACAAAAACTAGTAATCTATTTCATCAATAAATGAAAAAAGGGTTTGGATTCGGGTTTTTCTTCTTCTCCTCTTTCTATATTATTTGTTTGGTTATAGTTTCTCCATTTACGTAGGATGTTTCTTATTACTTGATTCTAGTCTTTCGTCGTCCTGGCCCCAGAGACTTATTGCTCGAGTGAAATCTCTATGCTCCTGGCAACAGTCATCTCATGATTTCTGGTCTTGTGTTCCTTTTCTTCAGGGAAGTACACGAAGAAGCAAATCAAGCGAGAGAGAAGGCATCTGAGCTCAAACTGCGCAGGGAAGAGCAAGGAGCTTCTCGTCGTGAGAAGTTAAAACAGGCTTATATACGGAAACAGTTAGAGAGACTTAAAGCAGCATCAAGTAATAAGGAACAGACATGATAAACAGCAGGAGGCGATGACCGCAATAGCCATCTCGAATCCTGCTGTTCGCTTCAGGGTTCATTTTTGAAGTAAAGAAACAAATTCAGCCGATTGACGCTAACCAAGTGGCTCCGTTTGCAGTTTCTTCATGTTTTTATTGTCCATGGAGGCACAGAACAATAGCATTTGACATATATTCCTTGCTTGAGCAATCAAAAAAGTGTATTTATTAGTCCTTTTCCGACGTTTCGTATGTTTGTGAAAATTATTGGTTGGAGTCGAACATTTAATATGATCGTGTAAGAAATTGCAAAATTACAAAAAACAGAAGTTAATAGTAAAATGTCAGAAGCGGGATTCGAACCCACACCCTCTTTCGAAAACCAGAACTTGAGTCTGGCGATCGAACCCAAAATGTCAGAAGTGAATTTAGAACACTTGGCCATCCTGACTGATTGTTACGACATTCCAAACTTAGCTATAAGGCAGTGCATTCAAAATAACAATTAAACGAAAGGAAAAAAAAAGAAAGATCGACTCTGCTGGGGATCGAACCCAGAATCTCTGGTTTCGTAGACCAGCGCCTTATCCATTGGGCCACAGAGTCGTTTGTTGGTGCTTGGGGTTTGTTTTCATACTTACGCTTGTACATCATAAAAGCCCAATGTCAAGTATCTTCCAAGGTGGGCTTGAAAGATTCGACTCTCCAGCCTCTGGGACAGCATTGTGAGCGAATCATGAATTTTAACGAGAATATAATTGTGGCCGTATCCTGAACTTATCACTCACTGCTATGACACTACTACGTAATTTATTTCTCTGGCTCCTCTCACTCATGTGGGTCTCAATTTTGAAAGGCCCAAGTTCTAGTGGGCTTCAATTCTGAAAGGCCCAACTTGGAGAGCAATCCAACGACCTCAAAATATTGAACAATACGTGGACAGCACATGGAGCACAAAGCTCAAACTCTCACATGTATGCCACTAAAATTAATGCAAATATTCCAAGCAATTGTCTTGAAAGAGATTATATTCCCCTAATCTTGCATTTTTTAAACACAGCCACACCACTCCCAAATCATTTTGCTTGCTGTTAAAGCAACATAATCCAACACGTGTCGGGCTCCCATTCGCTCAATTCCTTAATCCCCTCCCTATAAAACCCACTTAAGCTTCTTCATTTTCCTCAAACCAAAAACATTAGCACACTTTCTTCTACTTGTGACTTGAGAAGTAGTGTTCGGATTCAGAAGAAGAAGAAAAAAAATATGGAGGGTTGCAAATTGGCCATGGTTTTCACCATCTGCACGATTGTTCTTGTGAGCTTCTCGTCGTTCGGAGCTGCTGAAGATGTTGGTGTTCCTGCACCTGCACCGATGGAGAGCGCGGCGGCCCCTCTAGGTGCTCCTGCTGCTGCACTAGGGGCCATGGCTTCTTTGCTGGCTTTCTTCTTTTAAACTTGTTCATTTATATTCCCCATCTTATTCTTTTCTTGCTTATTTTCTTTTGGAAGTGATGTTCAATATCTTTATTAATAGCTAAATTTGATTTCATGTTGAAAATGTTGTATGCGTAGTTGCGCAGTCTGCAAGACAAATATCTTCGTCATTTCTCATGTTTTGAGAATGACCATAGTTTTTATCCATGCTCTTCGAAGTGAACGCCACATTCTCTGGTGGCGATAATCATAAACGAAGGACGTGGTCACAAGCGAGGTTGATGGAACAGGAAAGGCAAGAACCATGGTGGTCAGTTTCAAGAATTATTTATAATTTAGTGAAAATTGGAATAGTGCTATTACTCTTGACAACAGAGTAATCTGATACGAAATTCAGTGAGTGAACGATCACCGTTGCTTGATGGAACCGAAAAGATCCTCACACGTACGCTTGGGTGCATCAGGCCGCGAAACTATCTCCACAACCTTGTAGGACGCTTCAGGATTCGCTAATGCCTCTACAGCTACTTCTGCTACCAGATCTCTAGAGATGCTGCCTTCCGAAAGTGTGTCCTATCAAGAGAGATAAAGAGAACAACAATTAGGTTAAAGCAACTCAGGTTTTTGCGCTTAACACGATTAAATGGGGAAAAATTTCACAAAGTGTGACGCGAATTGTGTTACCTCTGGCTCCATTACAAGGTTTCCGGTTGGAGGGTCGTTTTTCAACCCACCGGGCCTTATAATCGTGTAGTTTATACCAGACCTCCTGATATAGTTCTCTGCCTGAAGCTTTGCTATTAAGGTGAGTCCAAAAACATTAAGAAATATGTAAGCCGGGTTGAGAATCTGCCCCATTGCTGCTCCATTGACCAAGATGGAACTCACAAGAATAAACCGGTTCACACCAAGTTTACGGCATGCTTCAACGAGATTCACTGTGCCAAAATTATCAACCTGCACTGAAATCAACTTTTTTTAGACACAAAAGCATGTTCGAATTACGAATGTCCCTTCCGTTACAACCTACACCAAAAGAATCCTTTTCTAGACAGCAAAACCTGCACTAAAAGTATGATTTCGTTTCCCAATCAATGACCGGATAAGGGATGTTTCTCTTTCCATTGATAGCCAGAGGCTAAGCCCCAGGATTTTAAACCATCAGTCATTTGCTAGAGTAAAGCTTAAACAAGAAGCAACCTAAAGATCGAACTTAAACACCAGTTGAAAATCAACAATCGACTACATAGAAGTAGAAGTGGCGTTAATATTTCAGAGAAACGGACTATTAATCAACATTCAACACCAATACCTTCCCCAACTTAATCACCTTCACAGCTTGCGGGTGTAGGGTTCTATACAAAAGGCCTCGATGCAAATTTTTTGTTTTCCAGGTTTCCCATGTGGGACTTTTACAAATTTTTCAAGAAGTTGCTCCACTAAGTAATGAACATAGATGTTAATTGCACAGATAAAATAATGAAATTTGACCTTCCATGGAGCAAACACATCCCATCCATAGCTAAATCCAGTGGCACAAATCACAGCATCTGAACCATCGCTTATCGCTTCTGCTAACTTAGCAGAACCATCTGTCACATCTGCCTTCACCTGCAAACAACCACAAGAGATCGTTTCATCGAAAACCCAACAAATTAAACATTCCCCAAAACAAAACAAAACAAACCCAATTGAGTAACCAGCACTTGAAATTCCGAAGAAACTCACAATTTGAAGAGCTGCGTTGTCTGAGGGAAGGCTAGCTTTCGCTTTCTCCAAGTTCCGAACTCCGGCTTTAACTGAGAAACCCTTGGCCAGCAGCTGCTCAACAATCCGTTTACCTGTATTTCCAGTGGCACCAGCCACAAATACTTTCTTCTTCCCAATCACATTGGTTTCAGTTGTCTCTGTAACTTCCTCGGTAATTTCACCCCCTTCCATCTAAATAGAGATTAACATGTTAATAGTTAAAAACTAATATTAACGGCATTTGAGAGAGAGAAAGAGACCTGGGTGGACTTCAGGATGGGGAAGGACCTGGCGTTGTAGGAAGAGAAGGAAATCAGAGAGAAGGGTTCGGCGGTGGTTGTTGCGGTGGTGGTGGTGTGGGAAAGAGGAGGGAGTAGGTGGTGAGTGCAGAGACGTAGAGGAGGGTTTCTGAGAATGAGAGGCAGAGGAGCTGCCATTTGCTTTATCTTGCTCCCTTTCTTGTCCTCCAAGTCCAACCAACACAGTCCCTCTCCTGTCTTGACTTCCCATTTGCTGTTGTGGGACTGTGGGGTCCAGTGCTTCCACATCATTGTTTTTCTACGAATCCGGATCCTCTTCGTGAGGATTCCGAGAATTCATCAATCATGTCTGTTCATCGTACATTGTGTGATTAGAAATTATTTTAAATATTTTTATTTAAAATTAAATACAAACAGTACTTAATAAAACTGACTGCACGATATACAATGAACGAATATGTTTCCAAATCCCCAAGATCTTTACCAAAAGGATCCGGAGAGGATCCTGTTGGTTTTTCTTCGGCCCTTTCCTATCTTGTTGGGGTTTTTCTTTTGGAGGGGTTTTTCTTTTCTTTCCTAACTACAATGGTAATAATCATGTTTTCATCACTAAATTAATATATAAAAAATTATGAGACGAGGGAGGGAATTCAAATTTGGATGAGATGCTTCGATTGATGTTCATTATATTGTTGAACAATTAGAGAGCAACTTATACAGTACAATATAATGCCTTGTGCTATTATACAACGTCATATGTACAAAGTTTACAAAGATCATTAGTATGAAGAACCATGTCAGCTAATACACCCGTGTCATGTAAATTCTTCTCCAGATTTGTAGTGTTTTTCTATGCTCCTTGCACCAATGCAGTCAGCGTATACATGCAATATAAATTTTCCAATCTTTTCCTTAATTTTTATAAAAAATGTCATACAAATGACGTAATCAGTATCTCTACCCAAGCTTCTCCCACGCGATAGCCAAGTTTTTCTCTTTGTTTGAGTTTGGTAAGGCATGAATGGGTTACTAAGGACGTGTTTTTTTTCCTGGGTCCTGAGAGGCTAAGCCCATGTTTTCAGTTTCAGCGGTACGATCCGACGTGAGCTTTTAACCACCGTTCTAAAAAATAGACTACGCAAATAACACACATGACATTAATGAAAATCTGCTTCTTAATTCCAGGTCTAAGAACCACAGACAAGAAGACACACGAGGCCAACACCGGAAGTAAATTCAGTATTCACCTCCACCGATGCGTGACGGGTCCGATCTGTTGCCAAATTCTGCTCTCCCTGAAATTCAAGACTTGGCTATAATCGTATAAAACTGTCCTGTTTTTTGAAGAACTAAAGCTGGCCAAGTAGCTTGGATGTGAAGCAAATCCGTCTCCGCTGTGAAGCTATAGCAACATACATTACCTTGCATTACAAGTTGCCGGCGATCCTTTACAAACTCTCACGATATTATGAACACTGTTCCACCATCTACCATCACTATGTTTCTCCTTCGGAGTTCCTGAAGATTATCAAGTTTGCTGTTATTATTTACCCTTTTCATGCGCAAAGATACTAGCTCGAAAATTTATGAAGGAAGCAACTAAAAATTCGATGATTCTAGCACAGATGATTGGTAGATGCTCGTACAGTATGTCTTCCGTGAATTTAACGAAAATTTACCTCTAATAGGAAGGTTATCTCTGTCCTTGAGTAAGGAACACTTGCTCCGTCGTTGACAGCATTCTCTAAGGCCTCAACGGATATGCTTTCCGCGCGCTGTACCGTCCGTACTTGATTTAAAACATCAGTAAGTGCTTTTAACCTGTAGGTGCAGAAGGAAAAAAGAAATTGAATTGGCATTAGAAACAAATGGCTCAGATGTGAATTTAACAAAATAGAAAACAGGAGCACATTGGGTTGGTGATCTATGCAGAACCTTTCGGAAGAGTTATTAGTAGCAGCAGATTCAGTGCGAGGGTCAACATCCATGGGTTCAGTTGTTGAACTAGCACATGAAAAACACAGGAAGAAGTTAAATGAATGTTTTGAATTTGACCGCACTACCAATACTATAAGTAAGGGAAAAGTGAAGGACTCATAGATTTTATGGGGTCTAGTTATCGACGGAGATTACATCAATTAGTACATGTAGGCAATTTCTGAAAAGTGAACTTACTCTTGATTATTAGTAGTACCATTGCCAGACCCATCATGTTGACCCGCGGAATGGTCAGCTCTGCGAAAATGAACACTATGATAAGAGAAAAGTGAAGGAAGAACTTTACAGTTTTTACAACATTGATAACATCAATTTATGTATACAGGCAATTTCTGGAAATACACTTACCCTTCCTGACCTGCGGAATGGTTAGGTCTGCCATTCCTCTCCAATTCTCGCTCTCTTTCTTGCTCCCGCTCCTCCATGTCAGTCAACTCTTTGTGATATATTGCAAAATTTAAAACTTTAAGAGCAGCGTCAACATCAGACTTTGAAACCTGTGAAGGCAGATTTATCATTACTTTGAGGTTGATGAACGTTGCGATTGACAGAACACTTAAGCTGATGAAGCAACCATAGTTTTGATTTCCGCAATAAATGAAAGAGCAGAATGAACTAGTCCCATCAGATCTCTATTAATCATTAAAGTTAACAAGGTACCTTTCTGCTCAACTTTAATTTTGCATGAGCAGTTGAGAGACGAATGATGGTTTCTAAAGTTCTGGCTGTAATTGGAAGTGTTCCTCCAGTCTGAATAGCAAAAATAATATCAGATGATAGTCAGAAAGTCATTGCATTGACCATGCCTAAATATACAATGATGACAAATGATGACCTTTGCATTTGAACTGGCATTTCTGAGTTCTGCATATGTTGTTGCAATTTGTTCAGAGGCCTGTTGGAAAAAAAACAGTTATTAGCTGTCAAACAGCCTCATAATGCAACAATGAAGTTAAGAAGACAAGTTCATAAAACTAACTGAAAAGGCTCTCCACAAGAAAGAGATTATTTGGCAGATTGCGAAATAGGATTCGAAGGATAAGCAACCCAAATGACGTGACCAAGGGAAAACGCACATATTCATTGAGTAAATAAATGAACAAATAAAGCACCAGTACCTCATCAGTCAGATCAGGCTCAATCCTATTCTTTGCATAATGAATATACTTTTTAAGAAACTTGATTGTGAGCGTATCACGCTTCCGACCCCTATCGGTTTTTTTCCCATGTAGCATTCGGTTATACTTAACAAATACAGATGAGTCGTTATTAGTTTCATCTTCTCTTCCAAATGCCGAGCTCCCATCAAGCATTGCCTCACCTACACTTATAAGTTAATCAAACTTATTTTGTACTTCTCCAAGATAGTAAAACATAAAAGATTACTGCTTTAGTACCTCCAGTTGCAGAACGATACCGATGCATGCGCAACACATGCTCTGAGACATGACGGTCAATGTCAGGATCCATTTGATCCAATACGATAAACAGTAAATCAAAACGAGAAAGCAGAGAGTCTGGAAGTCCAATATTCTTTGTTGGTGTCAACGAGCGATCATACTGCATGATTCATGCAAAACCAGCGTTACAAAAAATAATATTAATTAAACTAATTAAATAAATAAAACACGACAGTAAGAACAACAAACTGCGAATATGTAATTAAATGGTCGATGACCATTAGCTCTGTCACTTACAGAACCATATATGGGATTTGCAGCAGCCACCACACTGCACCGTGCATTGAGGGATGCATGGATACCAGCTTTGGCAATAGTTACAGTCTGCTGCTCCATAACTTCATGTATGGCAACACGATCTTGATCATTCATTTTGTCAAATTCATCAATACAGACAACACCACGATCAGCAAGAACCATCGCACCAGCTTCTAGCCTTCTCTCCCCTGATAACAGACAGATTAGTATCTTCCTGGTAATAACATCATATAATGCTAAAGTTGAACTGCATGAGATAGGAATACGTTATTACCTGTCTCTTGATCCGAAGTAACAGCAGCTGTCAAGCCAACACCAGAAGAACCCCGGCCTGTAGTTGATATTGCCAAGGGAGCAATGTTCATAATTGCTCTTAGAAGTTGAGATTTTGCAACAGACGGATCACCAACCATCATCATGTTAATGTCACTAAAAGAAAAGAAAAAGACATTGTTTGGTCAAGATTCTTTTTATGCTAGAGGACCACTTAGGCAGGGCCTTAGAGAACAATAAGGGCCAGATAGGTAAGCACAATTAGGACAGCAAAATATCCATCAAACAGAAAATGTTGAATCATAACTTACCCTCGTAAGTGAGTACCATTCTTTAAGTTCTTTTCCATTCCACCAAGCATTAGTAATATTACTGCTTTCTTTATCCATGAATGTCCATAAATAGAGGGTGCAATTGAATTCCCAAGCAGGTCAAACGTATCACTTCTTTCTGCTATCTTTTTTATGTTCTTTATGTCATCAGGACTGTAAATTGGTGCATTTGCTTCTTTGTTGAGCAGCGAAACATTGTTCGCTATGAGAACAGTCCTACACAACAAGGCCATTATGTCTAAGTATGAAACTAGAACACATTATTGACAAGATAAACAAGGTAATAATTTATGCAGTTCTCATGGTTGAAGCTACCTGAATACTCCATTTACGCTTCCCTTGCTTTTACCAGGAAGAGCTTTGTATATCCCTACAATCGCAACACGGTCTCCTGGTTTGCATGAATCAACAAGGTCATCCTCAACTATGACATCCACTGTCCGCGGAAGCTGACCAGGAGCAGAGTTCTCAGGAACTTCTTGCATGGATAAAGTTTGATGGTCTTTGTATTTGCACAGTCCGTACTCAGTCACCAACAAGTTACCATTTTCATCCTGTGGCAATATATTTTCGTAAAAAATCCCTTCCCTGACAATATAAAAAGATACAATTAAAGTAAAAAACTTGAGATTACACTTGTAGGATAAACTGATCCTGTAGGCAAACCCATGTTGGATGTAATGTCTCGGTATTCTCGAGAGGTGAAGTTTCCAGTAGTAGGGCAGAAGTGAACACTCTTAACAACTTTTGGCCTCACAAGTGAACCTACAAATGAGTCAGTTACCGGGTTAGACTCATCCACGACTAACATTTTCAACAAAAGCAAACATTGATGCAGTTCATTAGCTGAATTGAAAACTAAGCAAAGGAAGAATCTTAGGGTTTAAGATTTTCTAGTCCAAATCAACAAACTAACCTCGAATTTCATAAAATCTTTCCTTTTTTTATAACATTTTTCTCAAATTTTAATCAAGAATGATCATTTCCGAGACGTGAATCGAGCATGAAATGAAAGCAGAAGAAGGCAGGGGAGGAAGAATGTACATTTGGTGACAATGCCTTGGACGCAGACCATGGAACCAATGTACTCGGAGAGCAGATCTCTCGGTGTGACACGGCGCGAGACAAAAGCGCCTTCAAACCCCACCAGAAGTTGTTCTCCTTGCTTCAGGTACCTCGGGTCGATCCTGTTGGCGATTTCAGTGGCCGCGTCGTTGAAGGATTGCATATAATCACTTGGATTTCTCAGAATCCTGCAAATTGAAAATCGAAGTCGAAACTAAACTAGGATTCTTCCGAAATTAATTTGGGGATAGTAGAAATTGAGCAAAGCTAGGGAAGTGAGTGTTTGGTTGCTGAGAAAAGTGGATGAACCTGGAACCAATGTCACCGTAGGAGTGGAGATCGGAGATGTCGACAATGAGGCGGCGGCGGTTGTGGTTGAGGACGGCCTTGATTTCGTCCATGTATATCTGCGCAACACTTTAGCTAGTTAGAGAGAGAAAGCGAGAGAGTTAAAGTGAGAGAGAGAGAGAGAGGAGGCCATACGCCATCTTCCAAGAAAGCAAGGAGATCTCGCCGGTGAACTGCCCTAACTTCTTCGCTGACGTCCATTTTGTATTCTGCAAGAAGAGAAGAGAAGGTCGGCGACGACGGCGACTGAGAGTTCGAGAGAGTGAGCAACTGCTCAGTGCTATCGCATCCCCTTTGCTCTGTCTAGGGTTGGCGGGAAAATGGGGGACCTTTCTCCTTCCTTCGGCGCCAATATCATCCTATCCTATGCGACGCTGTCGTTTCCTTTTTCTTTTGAAATATTTTTTATTTATAATATACCTGGAATATAAAGTTTAATTAAAAGTAATAGCACTTTAATCAAAAGTTGAAAAGTAACAGATGTTTAATTTAGAAAAATCTAAAATGAGACATCTAATTCTAATTAACTGTAAAAAAATATTTTGTCAACTCTTAATAATTAATTATTGGAATAAGGACTCATTTTAAATAAAAATAAAAATGTGAAAACTCTTAGTTCACGTTTCTACTATAAGTAGTTGTTAAAAAATTCAAATTTATTTTCAGTTGCATAAAATTAAGCAGTCTAGTCTGCATCTCAATTTTAATTATAAACGAACTCTTGTTTTTTTATAATCTATATAAAATGCTGAGTTGGAAATTGGAAAAACTATATTTCATCGAATTAATCTTGAACCGCAGTAGATATAATTGAATCCTTAAATTGAGGAAGGGATGAGATTCCATAAAAATAGCAATAAATTAATTAATACTATTGAGTGCATTTTTTTTTACATAGAAATGGATTTAAAAGAATTTATAAAATACTTAAATTAAGAATATACCTGGAATATAAAGTTTAATTAAAGTAAAAGCACTTTAATCACAAATTGAAAAGTAACAGATGTTTAATTTAGAAAAATCTAAAATGAGGCATCTAATTCTAATTAACTGTTTATTTATTTAGCCTAACTAGAATTACCGAGGAATGAAAAAGATTTTTCATAGGTCTCGAGTTCTTAGAAGTGCATGATAAATGTTGTAAAGAAAATTGATAATGAAGTAGACTCGTCTACTTAAGGCTCGTTTCAAACTGTTTTTGAAATAACTGAAAACGATTTTAGTAAACAAGAAATTCTCTTAGGGGAAGAGGATTCAAATTTTGAATTTGGATATATAGAAGAGAGCGAAGGGTGAAACTTGGCTACGTCAAGGTATGCGTTTCCTCTACCTCTCTAGATTAGTCACGCTTTATAAGAGGATCTTCAACTGTCACAACATGCAAAATTGGTGATCCATTCCATACTCAAAGAGTTCAATGAAAATACCAAAACAACCTTTCCATTTAATACAACAATTTCATACTAACCACCTCATAATTTAAAAGAAGAACAAAACATTGGTTCTCCTACTAGTTTCCTCACAGAACTCGGTATCGAACGACGACTAGCGTCCATAAAATAGAGAACAACCTTTCTGAATTATTACAAAGCTACAGATGGCCTCAAATGTAAAGGATGAAGCTTGCCTCCGAAATAAATTAAGATCTCCTCTAAGCATCGTTGGTATACTACAAAACTTGAACACAAGTCGGATGATCAGGGCTTGAACGGAGAGAAGGCGACGACAGAGTTGTGTCCGCCAAATCCAAATGAATTCGATATGGCTGGAAAGACATACGAAAGCTTAGTAAGTCTACTTGAACGGTGTTTGAGCAGTTGAAAATGAAAAAGCACTGGGAGTTTCAAGGTTTGGTCTTCTTACCAACATTCACTTCATGCTGCTGCTTTACATTGGGAACAGTGTCAAACTCCACTGAAGGCTCTGGGTTCTGTTTCACAAAGGACATGCCACACGTCGGAAACCATTTACTATAGTGTTTCAAATAAGACAAATCAAACTAACACTATGCTGTAGAAACCGCGTCCAAAATCATAAAAACAATAACATACAAATTGGTTTATGGAAGGATGCAGCCATCCAGTTGTTATGGCTTTGATGACGGCAATAGCTTCCAGACCCCCCGAAGCACCAAGACAGTGTCCGATCATAGACTGAAACAAAGTAAAGGCAAGAAATACGTAGTTAGAAAAGAAACATCATATGAATTATAAAGAGACAGAGGATTGGAGAAGAGAGATTGCCTTAGTTGCATTGATCTTGATATCTTTAGTGTTCGTGAACACCTTCTTTATAGCATTTATCTCGGCGAGGTCACCAGCAAGGGTAGAAGTTGCATGCGCATTGATGTAGTTAACCTGATAAAGTGAGGGAGTAGTGCACTAAATGATGCTGAGGAGCAATCACAAGAACATAAGATAAGTTTACCGAAAAGAGAGAGTACCTCCTCGGGTGATACACCAGCATCTTCGAGGCATTTCTGTATGCATGTAGATACACCAAGCCCATCAGCTCTAGGATCAGTCATATGATAAGCATCACAGTTAATACCACCTCCCAAGTACTCGGCAATAATTGTAGCACCTCGTTTTGTTGCATGTTCCAAGCTCTCCATTACCTGTCAAATCAAAACTCTTCACATGTCATGATTAAAATCTAAGACAAAAACAGGGGTCAACTTCAGTGTAAACACTCGACACTTCAGTCATCGTGAATTCATGATAGCTGAGATAGAATTTTGTAGGGGTCCGTCTACTAATATTAGATTATATGATCATTTTTTTGTTTCAAAATAAAAATCTATTCAGGCTTACCAATACTCCAGCACCTTCGCCAATAACAAAGCCATCTCTATCTCTGTCCCATGGCCTAGAAGCCGTTTTTGGATCATCATTTCTCTGAGACAAGGCCCTGCATGCAATAAACCCTCCCACCCCAACAGGAATTATGGCAGCTTCAGTTCCGCCAGCAATCATCAAATCAGCTTCACCCCGACGAATGTGATTTGCAGCAGAATAGAAACAATAATTTGAAGTAGCACAAGCAGTCGAAATGGAATAATTCGGTCCCATAAAACCCAGATCGATAGCAAGCAACGCAGACCCCATGTTGGTAATAGCATAAGGAATGAAAAAGGGGGTAATTTTCCTGTGACCTTTCTCTATCAGTGCATGAACACCGTCCGAAAAGACAGTAAGACCACCCATTCCCGATCCAACAAGCACCCCAGCCCGTGATTTATCAAGCTGAAAGTGAAGCAAAACCAACCATTTTAGAGACTCATCTCACTGTTCAAAAAAACAAAAACAAAAAGCCAACAAACGTTTTTCAACTGGATGATAATCGAATAGATGCACACAAATATTCTCCATACACATCAACAACTCCATGCATGTCGTACAATTAGCACTGAATTTACACCAAGATCCATAGTTTTTTAACAGAACCCATTACTCTTAACACACAAAATTAAGCTAATCAATCTCATAAACAACCAAATGCTCCAAATTAGCACGTTCTACCGGAAACCTATCACTTTAATGAGCATAATTAAATAATAAAACAAATAAATCAAAGAAAGCAATGACCTACCAATCTCCGAAGAACCAAATCGGCAAATTAGCACATATTGCAAAACCCCCCATTAAGCTAATGAACATACAGAAACAAATGAATACATGCAAATGAAATAAAGCAATGACCTTTGATCGGTTATCGGCGCCAAGACCAGCATCCTCGAGAGCTTTCTTCCCAGCAACAAGGGAGTACCGAAGGCAATCGTCGAGCCGTCGATCGTTCTTCCCATCAATGTAGCCCTCCGATGAGAAACCGCGGATCTGGCCCCCGAACCGGGTCGAAAACTTAGACGCATCAAACCGGTCGAGCGGCCCGACGCCGCTCTCCCCGGCGAGGAGCTTGTCGTAGAAAGTATTGACGTCGTTGCCGAAGACGGAGACGAGGCCCATTCCGGTAATGACGACTCGCTTCTTCGGGTCCGTCTCACGTTTAGGGGCGGACACGGCAGGGGCGGAAGAGGCGGAGATGAATGAGATTCGCCCGGAGGATGTGGCGGTTTTGGTAGTGACACTACAGAAATGGGGGGTCCGTTTCCGAATCGGGTCTAGTGGAGCAGGCCGGAGAGTGGAGGATTGGAGGGACTGCATGGCGATGAGAGAGAAAGTGAGTGATACGAGAGAGAGAGAGAGAGAGAGAGAGAGAGAGAGAGAGTGGGGGGCGACGCCAACGATGTGAGTGAGAAGGGCGGAAGAATATGGTATTTATTTGGAGGATACCACTTGTTTTTAATCACTTGTTTTTAATTGTGACGGGACCCAATTTGGAGGATAAATTTTTAAGGAGGCAGATTTGGTACTTTATTCAACAACTCTGTTTGCTTAGTCTTGTTTTTAATCACATAAAGTACCAAATTTGCTTAGTCTTTTAATTGCGACGGACCCAATTGAAATGAAGGCGAAAACATATAGAGTTCTTGAATAAAAGATTAAGCACATTTGGTACTTTATGCTATTATTTTAGAAGTTTTTTTAATGGATTATTCTTTTTGTTTTGTTTTTCATAACAAGGATATTCTGTTAAAATTAAGCTAATCCTATTCCTAACCTTGATTATTTCTTTTAATATTACATCTTTTTACATATGGTTAAGAAGTAATTGGCTTGTTTTGTTCGTTGGGCCAACCAATTTTTTTTTTCTAAAACAAATTAAATTATGGTTTTACCTATAAAATCAAAGACAAAAGAACAAAACTACTAAATTTTCTTGATAGTGAATAAACAATTACTAATTAATATTCTATTTGCTAATTGCCGTGGCGTCACAGTTTCCTTTCTCTATTTTTTCAAACTTTTGGTCACAATTTTCTTCACATCCCATTTATCATGGAAAATGGGTCTCCTGGAAAATTACACCGCCCAATGGTTGTCTCCTAATTCTGAGAGGTATTCAATCTAACCCGGAACGCGAGACAGCACGTCACATGTTAATTAAAAGAAAGAGTTTTGCCTTTCAAATTATATAATAACATGTGGCATACAATTTCGTCTACCGGTCACATTTTTCATGTCCCTGATTCCCATGCTGGTGTTGTTGCAAAACATTAAACAAAACTGATAAATATATTTAAGGTGGAAACCGGGCTCGGTATGGTCACCTTGGGCTTGATCAAGCAACCGCACAGCCCAACTCCGTCGCATCACCCACAGTACTCGCCAAAACGGCGGCGTCATCGCAGAGTGCACGCCACTGTCTTATCATCAATCGTCACTGTGCCCACCTCCCACTCACCCCACCGACGCCGTAAGGCCCGAAGCGAAGAAACACGGCAAAGAAAACTAACAACTCTCAGCAGTCTCTCTCGTTTTCTTCCTCCGCCAACTGGGTAATTTCCCCTGCCTTCTCCACCTTTTTTTCCTCACCACATGTTCAATGCTGTCTGAATTTTTGCTGGGTTTTTTTTGAAGAATACCCAAGAAATGATAAAAAAAAATTTGGAAAAGAAAGCAAAGAATCGTAATTTCTGTTATTTTGTTTGATGGGTTGTGTTGTTATGTGTTAGATAATGTGGAGAACACACTTGTTCTTGCCCAAGAAGTTAGGTTAAGCTCAGTTGGGTGGTGGGGTTTTTCATTAGCTTAAATTTGAGATATTGGAAACTGATAGTCTTGTTTCTTTTAGACTAGGATGTTCTGTAGAGTTGTACCCTTTCGAATCGAAAGCAATGCTTACTGTACGCTTACTCTCTGCCGGGTTGCTGATGAATTGGGTTGATAGAAAAGGAAAGTGGAAACAAATGTCTAGGAGGGGGAAGAAATATGTGAAATATTATGTGGTTATGGATTTATGTTGCTTTGAGTTCATAGTAATGGTTTAGTTCTTGTGTGAGTGACAACGTGGCGGCTGAATGTGTTGTTTTGTTCTTTTATCTTTTGCCCGCTTTAATAAACTGATGGTAATCGAAAGAAATTCTAGAAATTCTTTTAGGGAAATGGTGTTGAAGGTCCAACAAAGTGAGGGGAAAAGGAGGTCAGCAAGGTTAAGCAGCATAAACTCGGAGGGAAAGAGAATCGTTTCAGTAAAGAAGACTAAAACCAAGCAGAAGAAGAAAAGTGCTAGACTTGATTCCAAGATACCGAAGAAACCGCCAACTGCTTTCTTCTATTTCTTGTATGTTTCTCCTTCCATTCCTGTTTAGCTTTTCATTTATGTTAGTAGACAGGTTTCACTTTCTAAATTTAATTGCATATATGTGCTGTAATTGATTAAATTTCCAACAGGCTCGATGATTTTGTTGTTTGATTGTCTTAGTCCTATAAGAACACATCATCTTTTTGCTTGGCTGAAGTCGAGTTCATCATCATTCGTTGTGCTTATGGTTCTGGCTTTTAGTATTCATATCATGGCTAGTTGAGAGAATCTTCTGCTTCTTTATCTTTCGTTATTAGAGGGGGCAATTTCCAAATTTAAGGCCATTGGGTGATTGAGGTTTTACCGTCCTAAACTGGATTTTCGTGTGTTTAAGGGAGGATTATCGTAAGGATTTTCAAGAGCAAAATCCAGGTGTCAAGCAAATGCGTGAAGTAAGTTTATGATGCGGTAATTCGTTTAACTTCTTGCATGTTTTTCATTTGTTACTCATCCCATCAGTTCTATTGTATATGAACATACACCACTTTCATATTCAGATTGGAAAGGCGGGTGGAGAGAAGTGGAATACAATGGCATATGAGGTTTGTGGTCTCTGTATACTTTAGTTGACTTCTTATGTTTTCGTTAGATTTTTGCTTCACTTTCTCTAAAGTTCTGTATTGAAGACCCAATGAAATATGACTTTTTTCAACTGTGGGTTCTATTTAACTTTATGTTCTGACTAGTTTTGGTTAAAATATAAGGAAAACTAATGAAAAAGGCTTGACAACTTTGAGTTTTAACGATAAGGACAACATAAAGGGTAAAGTGAATAGTACCAAGATTGACTTTTTAGTGTAAAAATGTGGTTTTTCGTTAAAATGAACAGTACCGGAAGCTTTTCGTTAAAGTTCCCTAAAATATATGACCCGTTCACCAGTGTAGACTTGTTTGATGTGCTTATAGTTGTCTTTTTTCACTTAAGCTATTTATAACAGTGGATCTCATTTCGCTTGAATTCCTGCCAGCTTACGTAATACTGGCTGAATCATGCAAATGGTTCTTTCTTAATAACTGTCTGTGGTTCTGTTTGGACCCAAATTTACACCATCGGCCCGTGCAATCAAGGCCGTTGAGTGAGCATAGCTCTCAATCGTTGGATGACAAAGTAAAGATAATTTTTATCATTATTAAAGGATAATATTATGATTTTAATCATGATGTTATCTCTTAGTAATATATTAAATTATTATTTGATTATATCTCAATTGCCTTTGGATAAGATGTTGGTTTTGGCCACGTGATTATGTGTTTTGGGGATTAGATTCATAGATTCTATCTTATTTTGCGTGCATAGCTGCACTTGGAAGCAAAGTGGTGAACATAAAGTTCTAATTGGACTAGGAGATAGTCCACGGTTTCTTTTGAGGCATGCAAAGGATAAGGAAGAATAACAAATGTTTTTTTAATAATGGTGAGGAAGTTGTCAGGTGATGGAAGGTTTGAAAGGCCATCAAATATATATATATATATATATATATATATATATATATATATATATATATATAACTGGTAGGCAGTCGGCATGCTATGGAAAGCGCAATACACGTGGAAGGCAAACATCGTTATCAAGGTGGTTTTTTGGCAGTGCTTCCTTTATTGCCGAGTCTAGGAGATAATGATGCCTCTAAAAAAAAATATGTTGCTGCTTATCTGGAGAAATCTTGACCGGGATTCTAGCTGACGAGTTTGAATTAAAATCAAATCTTGCAGTAGTGTGAAGCTGCGCCACACAACATTTGTTCCTATAAAATACAGATACAGTGGCAACGGGAAGGGGACCTCCAACACACACAAAAACTGCCCTGCGCAAACTTTCTCAACACCTTGAGATTTTTTATTTTCTTTTTTCGCCGACACATCTTCCGTTGGCATCAACAGCACTGTGAAGGCAACCGGTGATATCTTAAGTCGGCATAGATAGCTCTGTCACCGTAGAATCAGCCGATCTCGCAGCATCTTCCGTTGGCATCAACAGCACTACGGCGAGGACGACTGGTTACCTATCCAAGTCTCGGTCGAGAAGGATTTCCGAATCCTCATTGGTCGAGGTCATCTCATCAGCCTTCTCGGCGAAGTGGGGTGTTACCAGGTTACTGTATTCGGCACATTGACAGCCGAATTTGAGATTGAACTTCGCAAATTAGCAGCCTTGTCTTCAGGCTCTAGAACCCAAGAGGCCGAGAATTGTTCCTTCCTCGGCCGCAATCGCAAGACACAGAAGTCAGCAGCGCGCTCAACGCAACATCATCAAATTTACTCCTCGGCCGAGCTCGGCCGACGAGTTGGCACGCCCCGCAATCACCGAAGGACGTAGTTAGCTTAGAATATACTCGGCCTGCGCGCTACGTAGGCTTTGTAATTTCTAGGGTCAACAGGTTCTCACCATTTGGACTATCTTACTTGTTGCTCATCCAGTGGCATGAAGCATCAAGCAATATTTTAACTTTTTTGACTGTTTACAAGTGTTCCTAACAATGGTGATTTGGCCAAAAATAGCTCATAGAATTTGTTTCTTTGTTCTATTTCCTTTCATTTTTTTCTTATATTAGGAAAAGGTTCAATATTATGATATAGCCACGGAGAAACGAGCTGAGTTTGAGAAGGCCATGGCAGAATATGCACAAAGAAAGGTAAACTTGCTTTACATGATCTTTGTGGTTAATAAGCCGAACCTTATCTTGCAAGCGATGCCGAGTGGTGATCAATTGCAATTTACTAAGTAGATTTCTAACATTTGCAGGATAGTGGGGAGGATGAAGAAACCGAGGATGATGAAGAGGAAGATTGGTCTGACTAAGAAATCATGTTTTCGTATGGTGGATGTAGTTGTATACAATTCATAGGTCCTGGTCGTGTGTCTTTGTAAAACCGCCCATGCCTGTATCATTCTTGTCTATATCTGTTCACAATTCGATTTTAGTAGCGAGAATTCAGATTTTAACAGTTGGGTTTGTACTTTATTTAATGGAAGATGACAAGTCTAAACCTTATTAACTGTCCCCAGGAATTTGTATCGAATAACTCATTTTTGACTCATGTTCTTGATTCATAACATTTTTCGGTCAATTGTCTTGCCCAGATTCAAGAATATATCTTCTTTTCCTCCCTTTCTTTTGATTTGGTTTTGTAGTCGGCAAGAAACTTCTTCAATTCTTGCACTGAATAAGATGTGTTGAGGGAAATCTGGTTGAATGTAAAATGTTCTTGCACCCGATGCTCGGGTCCAAATTGTTCTTGTTCTGTGAAGTTCAGTTTATGTGGCCAAGGAATCAAAATCCAGAAATCTAGAAGAAAACCGCTTCTCTTATGAGCCGTTTGATAACCATTTCGTTATTGGTTTCCCAGTTGATAAATCCCACAACATATAGTTACTGGATTACAATTTCAAAGCTTTTTCTTCAGCTTTAGGGAGCCTACCAGATGATGCTCCTAATGAATCGGAACTGCGCTTATCAGGGGCAAAGTATCTCAAATTCAGTTTTTTGGAGGGTTAAGTGAGATTCGCGTTGAGTTTCAGGGGGTATTTTCAATAAACAAAAGCTTTAATGAAATGCGCATGTTATTAAAGCAGGTTCATGGTTTATACATACCACACCAGCAGCTCCTGCTGCTATTGCCATTGGAGCTGTAACTGCACTCAGTCCAGATGAACACATGACCGGAATCTTGACTGCTTGGGATATCGAATATGCTGCTGCTAATGTTGGTGTTGCCTAAAATATGAAATATCGTCATCAAATTTGTTTGTTGAAATAAAACATGCATCTATGTTCACTTGCTTCTTCTGACCTGATCTGGGAGGCTTAGTGTAGGAGGTACTGTGACTGATAAGGTCACAGATGGAAGAATCCTCTTGGTCTCCTTTGTTAGATTCAATATCTGCAAAGGAATTCAACAGAATACAAAAAGAGAATCCGATTGGTATTCGTGCTCAGTATATTTTTCGTTTTACCTTGAGAGCTCTGCGTTCATGAAAGTCCCTGAGGACTGATTCCTTGGTAGCTGATAGGAGTGCTTTTGTGCTTAAAGTGGCTCTTTTTTTCATAGCCAAACATGGCCTTGAAGGCAGAGAGTTACCCAGAAGAGGGTTGTGGGTAGGTCTCAAACGGGAGAGAGAGGACGGTGAGGTTTGTAGGCAGACTGAGGCCTGCATCTCTACTCCAGCCGTAGGTTTTCAGGGTTAGAAGTTGGAGGGAGAGAGATAAGAGAGCTTTGGCAGTGGCAGCTAAAATGTTTCAGAAGAAGATAATTTGGCTGCCACCTCAACATAAATACTACGATATGTAATTTGTTATACTTATTTTAGGGATTGTATTGGCACAAAGGTACTACTAATGAACAAAAACTTGGGTCCGACTTCAATGCTATGAAACACTAAGTGCTACGATTTTAGTTGTTAGATTTGATTTTCACAACCGTAATAGATATCTCAGTGCTACGTACCATTGAAGATAATTCCTAAAAATCTTTTCTTTCAAGTCTGATTTCTTCTTTTGAAACATTTCGGACCAATCACGTGCAAATATAACTAGATAAAGTAACTATACAAGTAAACTCAAGAGTTGTAAACCCAAACTTAAGCCCTCCCAAACTCATGAAGATCAAAATCCCCTCCCAAGATAACCTTGGAATTCAAGAGATTTTCAGTGTGATTGGAACACGGGGCAGGTACGTCACATGTCATTATATAATCTGAAGGGATGTTTTTTTTCTATTGTCTCTCAAATTGTACAATGACATGTAATGTATCATCCTGTATTTACGTCTTACCGAAAAATCTCTCCAAGACTTCTATCCACTCTTGTAACACTCACCCCAGAGATATGTCATCTCATGCATATGATGCACTCAGCTAATTCTAGAGTCGGACCAAAAGCAACCTCCACGGCACCACCATATCCATGTATATATCACTTACTCATTCGTCACTAATTCTCTATAGTCTTGGTTGTCTAAAAGAAGGGGGACAGCCTACAAAGCTCATACGGGAAATATAAGTAGGAAAGGTCATGGGAGCCGAAGGATTATTTGTCTTGTTAGTACATGTCTTCTTCAATGTGAAAGATTGATCAGATGAAAAGGATCGAGATCATACAGTTATCCAAAATTCAAAACATGCATGCGAAGCAATGATAGTATCGGTAGGGGAATTCTAATTTGCCCTTGGTAGATTCCTTGCGTTCCAAACTAGAAGGAGGCAAGCGGCTTGAAGTTCAAGGAGTCGACAGTGTTTAATCTTACGTTCGAAATCTTGTGTTTAATCTTCCCTCTATAATATAAGGAAAATTCTAACATACAACAATATTACTCGAGTGACGTCTCATATCAATAATAACAATCAATAATGAAAATATGCGTGGATGGATGAGGTGGCACCGCCATCCACAGTCAAGAATTTCTCCATTAATAGAGGCAATGCCATTAGATTTGTACAATCCAAAGTAATTTGCTGAATTAAATTGCAGAAAATTCAGAATTTGTGAAGACCAAAAAAAGTTAACTGATGATTAACTCTCTACATAACCAACATAATAAGCATATTAATTAGCAACTTGATCTGTCAATTATACCCTTCTTGAAGCAGTACAGAGAAAACCAAGTACGTAAAAAGAGAGTCGGAAGACGAAAACAGACACACCAAAAGCCTCTAAAAAATGGCATCCGCAAAACAAGTAGAAGAAACAGAAGCTGAGCAGCAAAACCACCGCCTCAAACGCCGCCACGATCTTGAAAACCACATCATCGTAAAAAGAAAGCTGCAGATTCAGCGGCCGGAACTTAAAGGCAGACCCCAAATACTTCCACCTCAAACTCCACGACTCTTTCTTCATCCTCTTAAAGAACAACCACCTCTTCTTTCCCCCACCCACTGTCTTCTGCTCACTTTCTCTCTCTAGTTTTCCCATCTCTCTCTCTCTCTCTCTCTCTCTCTCTCTCTCTCTCTCTCTCTCGATTTCAGCCCGTTTGGTTTATGGGATTGGGGGATGTGGTGGTTTTATCTGGGGTGGGGAAAGATTCGGTTTCTTAGGAGGCAAGTACGCTAGAATGTAGGGAGATTGAGGGGATTTTGGCGGCGGGTTAAGGGTGTTTTGGGAATTTTGTGGGGACCAAACCGCTCCGCGTTTAGATGGAGTCAATGGGTTGTATGGGCGCCTCTAGAAGAAAATTATACAATCAGACCAATCCCAGGAATCATCTTCCTTCGTTCCACTCCATGGAATTATATATAGACTCATATCATAAGCTGTTTCTTGGTGTCTTATTCCCCTTTTTTCTTTAATAAAATTGTAAAAATATGAAAAATACTAACAAAAATAAACGATACCTTCTACTTCTCGGATTTGTTAGCTAAAAACAACTTAGATGACACGAATACACCGTTACATAACATCATGCCGACGAAATGAAGACATATAAACATAAACTTATGCATGTATTTATTTCATTGACACACAATGTCATCATAGTAGTATCGTACATGTGTCATATAAGTCTTTCTCCCTTTCTAAAAATTGCTAGAGCATCACAATTTTTTCTCACATTACTATTTTGATGATTTCGTGAATGAAGAAAAAGAAACAAACGATAGATAAGTAAGGACCGTGTTAACAGAGATGAAACAAACATGATTGGGGACGGAAAATTTGAGTGCATAAATAAAAATTGGCAAATTTTGGATTTAGTAAAGTGTCTAAAAAAGGTGTGACCTACTTTTTGCATCCAAGTTTGAATTTTCCTTTATATAATTTAGGTAAATTTATATCATTTGTCAAAAGAGAAAATGCAATTGAAGAATAATTTCTGTCAATTCATTTAATTCAAAAATTTTGATGGCGATATTTTATGGGAAAGGAAGAGAAAAGCAGATAGAATGTTGTACGTACACAGTTGACAATTACATGCATGCAACTCCATTCTATTCGTTCTAAAGTAATTGGGAAACGAATTACTTGGACGACACATGCATGTGGTAGCTATCTATAGTTCATATCATTCTCTTGGGATCTCACCGAAAGTGAAAAAGCAAGGGAACTTCACAACCATGGTACCTCAAATTCCTTTCTAGGTTTTTTTTGGCGTGTGATCTGATTCTTATTTCGCTTTAATTTTTTTTAAACCTAATCGATAGCATGATTCCATTGATTTCTCATAAAACAAATCCATTGATTCTTATTTCGCTTTATTCTTTAATTAAACTAAACACAAAGATATCTTTCAGACAAATTAAAATACTTAAATTCGAGATTTGTTTTAAATTAATTCAATAGTTAGCCAGTCGAGGAGATCAGCAACACAGTGACTAGCAAGCGGTAATTAGTTTATATATTATTTAGATGCTCTAATTTAAACAAATGAACAATTTGGTCCAAAGTACGTATAAAAGTGTAGGTCATGCATGCGTACACCTGTATACGAGTTGCTCGCTCTGTTTTGCCGACAGTTTCAACAACAAAAGAAGTTCAAGCATGCGCACGCCTGCAATTCATTTTATATTTTTGAATTATTCGTTCTGGTTTCCACAATATAGGTAGCTCCACATATACATTTCATTTGCCTTTGCCGGCTTTGGTTTTGGTCTTCCTGCAGTGCCTAAGACACCAAATCATCATCCATGCCATGTGTTTTTCTACATTAAGTTATTAATTAAGAGTTTATTGAATTTGATCATTTTCATTTACACTTCATTCTGTATACTTGCTTTTCAAGGCACAAAAGCTACTAGCTATCTTTTTGTTGTTCAATATATGTTTTTCCACCATTTTATAGATGATTTATATATAATGTTGTTCTATATACATAAAGTCTTTTGTTTCTTGATATTCTAATTACGCGGATCTATAGATAGAAAGATTGACACTTGAATGCAAATTGATGAATACTTATATCGTTGTATCATAAAAAAAATTCTAAAAAAAAGAAAGTGATTTGTCAATCAGTATTATGATCTAATGATATTCTTCTCACTTGTAACTGAGACATCGTTTAAAGTTTGAATTTTGTAAATCACAAGTTTGATATTAATTTATTCTCACACCTCTTATTTTAAATATATCGTAATATCAAAAAGTAAAATAAAAGTAATTCTAATGGTGATATTTGGGCGCATATATGGTTAATTTAAAATTTAGAAGATGTTAGAAAAATTTGACTTCAACCATGCTCCTTGTAATGCTTCTAAACTAGAGATCACGATTGAAGTACAATTTTATAAGGAGCATCTTAATTAACTGTTTCTATACAGTGATATTGGGCGAGGGTTTTTGAGCTAAGACACAATTATTTGGATAAAGCACAATTTGATATTGAGGAAGTAAATGAAATGAACATAGGGATGGGCAAATACCCATTGGTTATGGGTAACCGCGGTTACCCTTTCATTTAAATTAAACGGTTACAGTTATGGGTAACCATTTAAATAAATAAACGGTTATGGGTATAACCGTTTACTCGCGAAATTTAAATGGACGGTTATGGGTATTAACCTCGGTTATAAACGGGTAACCGTTTACCCATTTATTTTATATATGTAAAACTAACACAAACCATGTTCTCGATCCAATAATACTTAGCACCCAATAAATTAGCAAGGAATTCATCGGTCATTCTCTTAATAACACAACTACAGGAATGATGATTCTCATAATCATGGAATTTGTCAAATTAATTTAAATTCATTACGAGTAACCGTGAAATTGACAGAAATGCTTTGACAGAAATGTCTTCTAAACAATTTTTGTAACCCAATAATACTTAGCAAATATGATATTTACCTTCATTGGTAACAGTTAAAAATATCGTTCGTAAACTATTGTTTCAATTATTGGAATGATATAAGGACTTAAAAAATTAAAATACAAAAATGTATGATGAATGTACTTATAACGGTGTTTAATTGTCAAAAAAAAAATTATGACAATTTTTTTTTTAATTTTCAAGTTGTTAAAAAACATGTAGACGGGTGAAAAGGGTGAAAAGGGGGTAGTGGTAAAAAAAAATAAATAAACGGGTTAAAAAGGGTAAATGGGTAAACGGGTATTAAACGGTTACGGTTAAATGGATATGCGGTTATGGGTATGTAACGGCCCATATCGAAGGGTATCCAATCTCCAAAGTTTTTGTCGACTGTGGAGCCACTGTCAATATCATGCATGTAAACGTCATGAAGGCGTTACGTCGCTCCAATGACGAACTTATTCCCTCCGGGATCACAATGAGCAGTTTCGTCGGAGACAAATCCCAAACCAAAGGGGTGCTTCCTTTAGCGGTAAATATTACCGGCCGAAATCACATGACCGCCTTTTTTATCGTCGATTCCAAGACCAAGTATAATGCACTACTCGGTCGAGACTGGATCCATCAAACCAGCTGTATTCCTTCATCATTGTATCAGGTTCTCGTTTTTTGGGACGGTAAATCGGTCATTGTTCACCCGGCCGATAGTCAGCCCTTCGAAGCTAACATGATCCAAGCACGGTATTATGATGACCACGTCGGCTACATCACCCTACAGGGTTTCAATGATGAAGGACGACCAACTCGGATTTTTGTTCAAAAAGCTATCAAGGTTGGCGCCGAAACTGTCCAACAGGATTCGGCGAGACTCGGTTTAGCTAACTTCATCCCCGACCCCGATGTTTGACACCGATCGGGAAAAATGTCGGGTCGCGGTTTCATCTACTATGGAACGACTGCTGGCTCATTGGTATACTATATCTAAGCAACCAAATTCAGGCGTTAACCTCGTCGAGTTCCTTGCCGAAGGTGATAATGGTCCTGTTTTGTCTTTTGACAAAATTCAAGCTGCCCCGGCCGAGCTCGAAGACAATCGGCCCCAAGTCAAAGACCTTTTGGAAGAAATTAATGTGGGACGTCCGATGACCCACGACCATTATTTATTAGTGCTTTACTTCCCCAACATATGAAAATCGAACTTCGTGCTCTACTCGAGGAATTCAAAGATTGTTTTGCTTGGAGCTACCATGAAATGCCTGGCTTAAATCGCACTCTCTTCTAGCATGAATTACGTATTAAACCAGGGTGTAAACCTTTCCGACAACCACCTCGACGATTCTCGACCGAAGTGCAACTCGGTATCAAGGATGAACTAGTTCGGCTCTTGAAAGCAGGGTTCATTCGGACAGCTCTATACGTTGAATGGTTAGCCAATATCGTCCCTGTTTTAAAGAAAAATGGTGCATTGCGCATTTGCATCGACTTCAGAAATCTGAATCTGGCAACTCCCAAAGATGAGTATACAATGCCGATTTCGGATTTGTTAATCGATGCCGCGGTAAATCATGCGATCTTATCTTTTATGGATGGACATGCTGGGTACAATCAAATTTTCATTGCCGAAGCCGATGTGCACAAGACTGCTTTTCGTTGCCCGGGGGCACTCGGCACTTACGAATGGGTTGTCATGCCATTCGGCCTCAAGAATGCCGGTGCCACATACCAACGAGCAATGAACACCATATTTCATGATTTAATTGGAACCATCGTTGAAGTCTACATCGACGATGTTGTAGTTAAATCTAAACGCCGGCAGGCACATCTGGATGATCTCCGACAGGCTTTCCTCCGTATGCGTCAACATAACCTCAAAATGAATCCTGCCAAATGTGCCTTCGGGGTGTCAGCCGGTAATTTTCTCGGTTTCCTCGTGCATCACCGCGGGATCGAAATAGATGCAAATAAAGCACGCGCAATTATCAATGCTCCATCCTCGACGACGAAGAAACAACTACAGTCCTTACTCGGTCAGATAAATTTTCTTCGCCGATTCATAGCTAACTCGGCGGGTAAAATGAAAGCATTCTTCACGCTTTTGAAACTCAAGGATTCAGATAAATTCGAGTGGAAAGACGAGCATCAAGCGGCGTTTACGCAAATCAAAGTTTCCCACACGACACCACCTGTCCTTGTCCCACCCCGGCGCGGTAAGCCTCTCAAGCTATATCTCTCGGCGGCCGAAGAGTCAATCGGCTGCCTCCTCGCGCAAGACAACGATGCCGGACGGGAGCAAGCTATTTTCTACCTCAGTCGAAATCTTAATCAGCCGGAGATCAATTATTCCCCTGTCGAGAAGCTCTGTCTCGCCCTATTTTTCGCAACCTCCAAGCTTCGGCATTACATGCTCCTATCGGTCACACAAGTCATCGCCCAGACCGACGTCATCCGCTATATGCTCACCCGACCAATCGTAAAAGGCCGAATTGGGAAATGGACAATGGCGTTGTCCGAGTTCAGCTTGCAATACGTACCCCAAAAAGCTGTCAAAGGCCAGACACTGGCTGATTTCCTCGCTCAACATCCTTCCCCCTATGGTTTTGGGAGCACTGACGTCGAAATCGGTATGGTTGAAACGTGCGATAACTACTGGACGATGTACTTTGACGGCTCAAACACTTCATCCTCGGGTGGCGTCGGAATTGTCATTCAATCTCCAAACCACGATCGTTGGTATTTTTCGCTCAAGCTGGATTTTGAATGCACCAATAATCAGGCCGAATACGAAGCCCTTATCTTCGGCCTTAGCATCCTTCATGACTTACGGGCAACCCTTGCCCTCATCCTCGGCAACTCCGAACTTGTGATTAACCAACTTACTGGGTCTTTTCGATGTATGAGTTATACCCTGGCACTTTACCACATGGTCGCCAGCTATTTGTCCAAATCCTTCGACGGTATTACTTTTGAACATATTTCCCGGATCCATAATACCGACGCAGACGAATTGGCTCAAATCGCCTCCGGTGCACAACTCCTGGGGGCAAGCTGGGCCGAGAAATACCCGTGTTACGACAACAATACCCGGCCTTGGTTAACCAGCATATCATCCGACGCGACAACGTGATACGCACAAAAGTCATGTCCTTACCTTTGTTGTTAGACCGATAAGACCTTATTGATGTTTACGCTATCGAGGTGATACCAGATGACTGGCGAGGGCCCATTATGCGGTATCTTGACAATCCCAATGGCAAACACGATCGCAAGACAAGAGTTCATGCCACGAACTATGTCACGTATCAAAACGAGTTATACCGAAAAGGTGAAGATGGTTTATTACTGCTTTGTCTCGACCCTCAAGAGAGTGCTCAGGCAATCATAGAGGTCCATGAAGGGGTTTGCGGAGCTCATCAGTCCGGACATAAGATGCGATGGCTTCTTCGACGACACGGCTATTTTTGGCCAAGAATGCTAAAGGATTGTATCGAGTTCGCACGAGGATGCATACAATGTCAGATTCATGGTCCTATACAAAGGGTCCCGGTCGAATCATTACCTTCGGTCACTAAACCATGGCCATTTAGAGGATGGGCCATGGACGTAATCGGTAAAATCACACCATCTTCTGGAGCTGCCAAGCACGCATGGATACTAGTAGCAACCGATTATTTCACTAAGTGGGTCGAAGCAAAATCATATGCCGAGCTAACATCTAAGGAAGTTTGCGACTTTGTGGAAGAACACATTGTGACCAGATTTGGTGTACCAGAAACAATCATAACTGACAATGGCACAATCTTTACAGCCGAAAGGTTTAAAGAGTATATAACAACTTTGAAAATTTGGCTTGAACAGTCTACGTCGTATTATCCACAAGCAAATGGGCAGGCCGAGGCAAGTAATAAAGTATTGATCGGTATTCTCGAGAAAATAATAAAAGATAGGCCTGGCATGTGGCATTTAAAGTTGAATAAGGCATTATGGGCATACCGAACATCACCCCGATCAGCGACTGGGACAACCCCGTATGCACTAACCTACGGACATGATGCAATGTTACCAGTCGAGTTAAGCATAAATTTGTTGCGACTAATTGAACAAAGTAGTTTGTTTAGCGCTGAATATAATCAGTCCATGAGACAGGAGTTAGAAGATTTGAAAGAAGCGCGACTTAATGCTTACAACTTGTTGGTGGCACAAAAACGGATTGCCGAGCGAGCCTATAATCAAAAGGTACGACAAAAAACATTTGGCGAGGAAGAATTGGTTTGGCAAACGGTGTTGCCCGTAGGACTAAAAGACCTTAGGTTCGGCAAATGGTCACCGAATTGGGAAGAGCCGTTTGTGATACATAAAGTATACATCAAAGGAGCATATCATCTTAGAGACCGAACCGGTTTAATTCACAAATTACCAATTAATGGGAAGTTTTTAAAGAAGTACTATCCGGTCACATGGGAAATGCGGGAATAGAAAATCTGTTCATTAAGATCAATAAACGAGTATACAAAATGAGTAGGCCAATCAGTTTACATTCAAATAATTTCAGGGCGAAGAAAGAAGAAGGGTGCCGAGAAGGGCCTTCAGCTTCAACCACCGCACCTTGCCCATTATGACCTCGGTCTACCGGTTCTTCTTGTCAATTTTCAACTGCTCAACCCGTTTTGCGCTCGCCGCATACTCGGTTAAACAAGCTTTGCCGCCTGACTCGAAGTCCTTCGCAAGATCAGAAGCAATAGCCGACCTTCGTTTTGCCAATTCGGCCATTTGACGGTCAAGGTCGGCTAAGGCCTCCCCTTTTGCCTTTAAAGCATCAATCTTCGGTCGGAGGGTGTCTTGGACGGCCATAACAGCTCGCAGATCTTGTTCGGCCCTCAGAGCGTTCTCGAATACGCTAAAAGTTTCCCAAGCCCACTCCAAGGTAGATGACGCCTGAACGATAGCCTCGCCACTCAGTTGATCATCGGCTCCGAGATCATTTAGACATGCACCCAACGAATCAAGACCTTTGCGCTCAAGGACTTGCGAAGCCGAGAGAGACAAGACCTCTTGCAACCGAGCTAGAGCAGTAGAGTCAGCGACTTCAGTTGTGGCGGCCGAAGGACCAGCCACTCCAGTAGTGCTGGACAAAAGGGCGTTGAACTCGACCTCCCATGAAGCCTGCACACAAATGAGAGTTTAAGCTCAAGGAAATAGCGAAAAAGGTAGCAAGGAGGTTTTGTTTCTTTTAAACCTGCTGAGATGAGACTTTGGCCATGTCTTCAGGATCATTGCTCGAACCTAAAGAACTTAATGGCTGAGCCCAGTGTCTTAAACTGCTTCTCAGTTCACACGGCCGATGGAGGTTATCTACGTTCGATGGCCACTGAGGCGACCAAGAAATATAGATAACACCTTCGGCGTATAGGATTTTCGATTAAAAGAGTGTGCAGACACCTGACATTTAGTATTTTCCTGGTTTAGAGTTCTATGGCAGAAAAATAACCAAGGAAATGCGGTAAGAGGTACTTACGAAGGTCGAAGTTGCCTCATGTGGAGGAATATTGAGGTCCTGGTCCTGCAGATGAGCGGGCGTTTCCGCCGTCGCTTCTGGCTCCCCGACAGGTCGTTTGCCACGTTTGGCCATAGAAGGGCCGACTTGGACAACCGTTTCGGCCACAGGGTTGAAGTCCTGGTCCTGTGAAGGAATGGACGCTTCCACCGTCGCTGCTGGCTCTCCGGCCGGTTGTTTACCACAGTCGACCGTAGGAGGGCCGACTTGGACAGCCGCCTCGGACACAGGAGGAGGTTGGCGGCGGGGATGAGGGCAATTCGCCAATGGAACCTCGTCGCTCCCCTCGCTCTTTTCCAGAACGAAGGCCGAGGATTTTGGATTTGCAGGAGAAGTTCTCTCGGTCGCAGGGACTACCTCTTCCAGGACAGGTGCACCCTCGACCGGTGGAACAATAATGGGTTTACCGGCTTTAGAAATAGGCCGTACTTGGACTGTTTCCTCAGCCGGAATTGGCTGTTTCTCAAACAAGACTTGGGCGATGGGAGGAGAAGGGGAAACATTGGGAGTCGTCGCCCCCGTAGTTTGGCTGGAGATAACGTGAATCTCCTGTTCCCCTTTCTTCTCCAGCTTTTTGACCCACTTGGCGGGCCGATGAGGTTCGATGGTCGGCTCAGCCTCTTGACGATGTTGTTTGTTCGGCAGGACCTGCACAACGGTCTTTGCCCTCTTCGAGGCAACCAATTTTTTCTCGACCGCAGCCGCAGCGACTGCTTCCACCTTTTTCAAAGACCGACCACCTGGGAAAGTAAGAGCGAATCAGCAAAGTAGTTTAAAAAATTAAAGGAAAAAGGTAGAAATAAACCGTTACCTTGAGCTTGAGGGGCAGAAGCCTTCTTAGGTCGACCACCAAAGAGTTTATTCAGAACGGTTTCAACCGGAACACCAAAGAACTGTTGGGTATACTCTTCCCACCAATCACCGAAGGTGTCAGTACAAAGAGATTCTGGAGTGGTCGGTCGAAGGTGGAATTTCTGGCACCGTTCCTGGAACTCTTTTTTGGCGTCGCTGCATTCCTTCTCTGAAGAACCAGTTCCGCGTCCGCGGCTTAGGACAGACCGTGATGAGAGAAGGGGGACCGGGCAACCTTGGAGGTAGCCAAGCTGCCGAGCGAGGAAGTTGGGATGATACATTTCCCAACTCGCTCGGCGACCCTCACAGCCGAGAGGCAGGTCGCAGGCAAGCACGAATGACCCCCAGGATTGATGAATGACAGCATCTTCGTCCGCGCCCCACGATGTTGTAGGAAGTCTGATCGACGAAGGGTATTCTCGACGACGACATACCAAGAATTCATCATTAGAAAGGTCGTCGAGAGTGAAAAAGTATCTGAACACTTCTTCGGCTTGGTGATGGGGGATTGGTCGAAAAGCCAGCTGAGGGCCGAGCGTTTCTTTGGGCAAGAAGTCAGCAATCGTTGGCCAAAGAGGAGCAAAGTAGACCTGCAGCCAGAGTTGGAAGACCCAGAGGGGACCATTCTGCTGCGGGTCGACCTTATCCAGGGTCGTATCGGCCACTGGCATATTCTCGACCAGACATTTATTAGATTTGGTACAACAAATGAATTTGTTGTACCAATAGAAGAGGAAAACCTCGTGCTCTCCTTCTCGCATAGCCTATTCTCCTCGGCCGGTAAAATGGAGGTAGAGGGTGTTATAGTTGAAGAAGTTCTTGTGAAGCTTGTGAACCTCATCTTTTGAAGGTGTTTGGCCATCACCGCTTAGTGTCTCAAGGGCCCGTCTGTCGAAGAGCGTCCTCAAGTTAAGATTAGACAGGTACCCAGAAAGGGCAACGTCGATTGGGATTCCAGTTGGGGAAGTCCCCAGGATGGCAGTGAGATCAAGGATGGTGGGGCCAATGGGGCCGAGAGGGAGGACCATGGTGTTGGTGGCCGAACACCAGAAGCATAATGCTGCTAGGAGAAGCTATTTGTCCAGGATGATATCCATGGACGAGAGGTGAATGGCGTCGTAGATGCCTAGGGCTTTCCACTGCTCGCTGAAGAGCTTTTCCATTCGTACAACCCAGGCTGCCCAGGTTGTAGTGGTCGAGGGCCAAGAGCCTTGAGGCCTCGCCACATCCCACTTCGACCAATCAAACCCTTGTAACAAGGATGATAGGCAGTGCTCCTGAAGAAGCCCAGTGATAGTTGGTGGTACTGCCGCTTTAAAGAGAAGACCCAAGATTTGATGAGGGGTACTCATGTCGCTCTCAAATCGGATGGTCTTGATTGAACTCCGATTGATGATTTTCTGGCATTGGTCACACTCCTTGGAAAGCTTGGAGATAAAGGAGGCCATGGTGAATGGTTTGAAGGGATGACAGGAAAAGAACTTTCTGGGTTAAGGGTTGAAGATGAAGATCTGGAAGGAAGATGTGCACTGGAGAGCGATGGCAAGAAATTTTAGAAAATTTGAAACCGTAAAGTACAAATGAGAGAAATTCGGTATTTATAGAATTATGGAGGGAAGGGCAATTGTTCGAAATTCAAAATGAAGGGCAAAATTGACCGACGAATTCACTAAATCATTATGAACATTCAGAGAATTTAGTTGAGAAGACCAAAGGTTTCGTGTTTTGGGGGCGCACGATTGCGTGTGGCAGCGAGATTTATGGCAAAAGATGTTT